CACCTGGAGTCCACACCGTGATACACGTGTCACTCTGAGCCATTTTATCTTTTGTGCTGATAGTCAAGATCGCAGCTCTAACATTGACATCAAACTCTGTCTGGGCAGATGACTAAGAGTGCTGCACAATGTAAACTTTTGACCCTCAACTTTTTGACCTGCAGTTGTAACGCAACTAACCACAAAGATACAGCCGGAGTCCCCTCCTTTAGGGGGAAGGGGCCTTCTGGGTCTCTGAAATTAGAGGATGGAGTGTACATTTCTGTGTGTTTGTGACTATGTTTCCTGTCAAACCAGTCTCCTGCTTCTTTCTTTTTTTCCTCCCCAAATCAGGAATTAGGAGCTAGATTAACTTGAAATCACTGGTGACTCCACTAACCAGGACAATTTAGGGGAGAACTGGAGAACCTTTTGAAGCAGAAGTATAAGAAAAGAGATGGGGGAGGGTGAGCTGACAAGGAGGTGTGGAGCAGTTTTTGTTTTATTTAAAAATAAAGCCGCAGCCTTAATTGTTGGGAGAGCTGGCCAGGGCGGGCAGGCGGGCCGGCTGACTGTGAACTTGTGCTAAAGCGTGCTCTGCTGGCGGGTCCTAGGGTGTGCAGATTTATATGCTCTGCATTTACTTAACCCGGCAGTGAACTGCATGGGCGCCATTTGTTAGGCGATGACAGACTTCACCTCCAGCAAGGGCTGCTTCACAAAATCTCAATAATTACCCAGTAACCTTCATAACAAATATTATTATGGAAAAGGCCAGTTTGTGAGGAAAGGATCTGATAGAAGGGCAAATTCTTTTTAGAAAACACTAAACAAATCTGGCTTCCCCTCCAGTTCTGGAGCTTATGACTGTGGATCCCCCTCCCTGTTTGTCTGAACCCCTAGATTGAACCTTCACTTTTGCCTTGGCATCCTGTTTATACCCTTATCATTGTCTAGAAGAATCCCCCCCTCCCCAGAAGTAGAAGGCCTAAGATACTGCCTTCTTTATGGTGGGCAAGCCATGGGTAGACCCCAGCCAGAGAAGGGGAGATGTTTAGGGCATCTTGCAAGCTGAAAGCATTGCCTTCCTCTCTAACAGCCAATCTTGGTACTGTGGTTGATGGGATGTAACATTCTCCAACTCTCAACAAGTGAGAACCACTGGTTCTGAGAGAAAACTCTCTCTCTCTCTCTCTCTCTCTCTCTCTCTCTCTCTGTGTGTGTGTGTGTGTGTGTGTGTGTGTGTGTCTGAGCCAAGTGAAGCAGGACAACATGAGAAATATAGGAGAAAAGGGGATCTTGGCATAATGTTGTGAAATTAGAGCAAGGAAACCCTAACAAACCCCTAAGCAAGTGTGAGCAGAAGCTTCCTCTGATACTCATAGTCAAGGGAATAATTTTTGGGGGGCTTGTAGAAACAAACAGGGCCCTGCACATTTCTGCCACCTTCTCCTTTTACAAGAGAACACACAGATTTCTGACACCAGCTGAAAGCTGGAAGTCTTCATAAAGCCCTCAGTGGAAGAAGTTTTTTTTTTTCCCCTCTAAGTTCCTCAAAAAAAAAAAAAAAAAAAAAAAAAATACTCAAAAGAATCCACAAGAAGATATAACTCATCTCCAAAATGAGCAGGTAATCAACCAGCTTCTTGAAAATAGTAGGAAAGAAAAAGATTTCCTCAGTAACAGTCACACAGATCTGACTGGATGCTGTGTCTCTCAAAACCCACTTAACTACATGTGGGCCGACCTGCCCTCTTAAATTCTACTTAAGCCTTGTGAAGATTAAAACAGACAGAAACAAGCAAGCTGACAACACTCATAGTCTGTGGGTTTTTTTTTTTTTTTAATTTGTGGGAAAGATCCCTAGGAATGCATTACGTTGGATATGATGATACCATCAGCCCTTTTACTCATTCCCACACCTCAGGGTGTGGTCAACGGATGTGGTATTAACTTTCTTTTTCCTAGGTACACCCAGGAATACCAGCATTTCTATGACCTTTCAGGGTTTTTCTTTTCTTCTTCTTCTCTGATTTCAGCCACAAAAATTATGCAAGCAAAATCACCAGACAAATAACCAAAAAATAAATAAATAAATAAATAAATAAACAGAACCACAGCCCAAACACAGAGCAGCAAAACAGAGAATCCAACATTCTCAGACACATCAAGTAGTAAGAACCCATTTCCATGTACATTTCTTACTCCAGTTTTTTCTAAGAGGTGGACACATGTTCCAGAGTGCTGAGGTACCAATATTCACTTCACACAAAAATAACTGGATTCTTCAGCTTGCCACTGTTTAGAGGAAGTGGAATTATGAGAGAGTTTGATTTTGTTTTTTCTTAATGTCCTAGGCTTTGCTTTCTTTGGATCTCTGAATTTGGGGTTCTGTGGATTTATGCTGAATGAAAGAGATGTCTGCATAATAATGTTTGTTGGGATTTCAAATCAACACTTTAAAATGTTTCTCTTTAAGTACTTGGTAAATATGTTTACCAACTAGTACTTGAAGGAACTACCCAGCTCCAGAGAAAAAGAAGATCCCATTTTTATTTTTATTATTTGCTTCATTTTTAAATATAGTTGGATATTTTGGCTGAGCTCCTCAAACAGGATTGGGGGGGGGGGAGGTTATCAGGTCTCTGACCGGTACCTACCCTGAAAAACCCCAGCATAGGCCAGAAAGTCGCCAGTCACTTGGTTTTGCTTTGCCATTGAAGGACGTGGGAGGCTGGGTGCGGATGGAATTGTACCCAGAAAATTTTATTTTACCCAACTTCACTCATTGGTGCAATTTTGGAGACTGTTTTGGAAAACATATATTATGTAAATTTCCTGGGATCAAACAGAAAGAACAAGTAACAAAAGAGACAAGGAAATCTCCTACTGGCAAACGAGCAATTTCTTCCTAAACCACCCTTTATGATGTGTCAAGAAAAACAACCTAATGGCTCTAGGGACTTTTAAGTTGGGCATTGAAGACACCTCAATTTCCTTCAAAACTTCAGGCACAGTTTCAGAAGAGAGAATTTGTCTGCATGTTGAAGAGGAGCACATTTCTCCATCTTTAGTGTTATCTAGGGAACCACTTAAGTTGCCTTGGAGGGTCCTGAACATTGATGTCTTAGTCCTACAAAGAGATGGAGGAAAAGGAAAGAAGGGAGGCAGAAGAAAGGCAGGGCGGAAGAAAAGAAAGCGCTTTAACCCCTTTCAATTAGCCTGAGGATTCAAAGACTAAAGTTAAATCCGGCCATAAAGTTTATTGCTTCAGACTCACAGGCGGGTGAGAACACTGCCTGGGAAATGAAAAGAACTGGCGAACAGGGTTCAGGGCCTGGCCCGGCGCGAGGAAAGCTGAGCACCCCTTACCTCCTAGGAGGGGACCTGCTGTCCCCAGCATCCTGTGGGTGCTAGCAGCCCGGTCTCTGCCACAGAGCCAGGGCCCCAGCTAGCTTCTTCTCTCTCCAGCTAGTCTGAAACCCAGCCCGAAGGCCGCCGCCTCAATTCAGTCCTGCCAAATGACCCTGGATCTCCAAGACATATTGCCAAAGCCCCATAAGGAATCCCGCTAGTTTCTGCCTCGGCCCTGCTCGGGCCTTGCTTTCAAACTCTCCAGTTCAGTTCAGCCCTCTACTCCAGTAGCCCGAGCCCCTTCAACTCCCAACCCCCCATCACAGAGCTCTGTGCCCCCAAAAACCTGGGCCTGACCAAGCTTAGAAAGATGGGCGGGCGGGGGCTGCCAAGTTTTCACTTGTAGACCCATCCTCACGCACATAGAAAATCATCTTTTTGCACGCGGGGAAAGCAGCGGAAGTCATTAACATCCACGATTGTGCAGTAATTAAAGTTAGGCCCTGGTTGCGGCTCGGCCATGGCCGCTGTTCACCGTGAGGCCTCCTCAGAGCTGCCTCTGGCTTTGCTAATTTGGACAGAGGGAAAAGTTTGTTCTCCCATTTTGAATTCAGACACAGCTTCAGCATTACTGAGCCAGAGAGAAAGAAGAGCAACAAACTTTTTAGAGTGCAAATAAACTCAAGAGAAGAGCTTACCTTAACTTGGAGGGAGCCATTTTTCAGAGAGTTTTGAGAACTCGTGGTTTGGACACTTCTGGACCTAAAATTGACAATTTGAATGACCAGGCAGCACACGTAGCCTGCAAAAGAGTCAAATGGAGTCCAGCGTTAGTGAGATTATATGTTATGTGGTATATAATGTTGGATGTCAACTCCCCAAAACCATAAAACTTACTTTAATGGCCCCACGTGACGTTTTATAGCCAGTGAGCCGATCTGTCTGTGCTATGGATGATTTTACGATCTAATTCATAGACAAAACCCTATTCATTTGGCACCCAAATGTCATATAGCCGGAACTGGGGCTTATAAAGTTTACTGTTTTATAACTTTTAAAAGGAAAGACGGCATCCGTGTAAGCAGTCGGTAAATGTGCAAATCTCTAGTTGCGCTTTAGCTGCTCTGAGGAGTTTCCCAATGGAGCTAGGATGGGGTAAGTACTTTCCATTTGTAGCAAATTAATTGTAGCAAAAGAAGGCAACTGGGTTGAGTGAGAGGAGTGGGGAAGGGGTTTCTGGGTGGGTTAGTGGGCAGGGGGCTTGGGGTCTACATCCTGGCAGAGAATCCCCTTCAGCAAGGCCTAGGACAGCCTCGGGGATGAAGGATCTGTGTGGGCCTGAATGTGGCTAACAAAGCCATGGCTTTTCCCTCTTTTCTCTTCTTCTCCTTTTTGGTTCCGTCTAAGTTAACTTGGTTTCCTCAGAAATGGATATGGACGGGGTGGGACTCAGGCTTTGAAGCCTCCAATGCTTGGCTTTTGCCACCTTCTGGCCTGAATTTTCTGATGGCTCAGAATTAGGAAGGCTATGGGTCAAGGTGTGGGTGGGAGGGCCACCATGAATAGGCGAGCTGCCCAGGTTGCCTCAGACTCACCAGCTTCCAGCACTACTAGACAGACAGAAAGCAGAAAGAGGCGCTTGCGATTTGGCACAAATCAGACCAAGAGGACTTACAATAGAAAGTTTATTTTTTGTTTCCAGTCAGTATTTTTTCCTTAAAAACAAATACAAAAAAAAAAAAAAAAAAAAAAAAAAAAGCTGATCACAGTTTGCTTAAACAGCCAGACTTGGACAATATTTGTAACTTTGTTCACAAAAACATACATCACTGAAGCTGCGCTTATCAGAGCCACTTCCAGAGTTCGTGCAAAGGGTCCTACAAAGGCACGCAGGGACACACCGCTTGAAGTCACAGTTTTCGTCACAGTCACTAGCCACTACACGTTGAACAAGTTAAGTTGTGTCTCATCAAGTCACCTCTACAACAGCATTAATTACACAAGGAATATAGGTAGTTTGAATAAAAATATCTTTAACAGCTTGGAGCTATTGAGACAGGAACACTTCCACGCACATGCACATTAAACAACTCAAGTGCAACACACAACATTGGCACTAAACGAGGTGGGAGGGGGCTTTTGTGTGTTTTTTTTCTCTTTTTTGTTTTAGTTACTTCAAGTAACACAGCTTGCTTCATATAAATAAGTTAAAACATCTATTTTTTTTTTTCAAGACAAAGCCATTCAGGACAAAGAGATGAACAGAAGCAGATCTACTTATACAGGCGCTATAATGGCAATAAACAGGCTCATGATTAAAAGATGAATTGGGGCAAGGAGAGCAGGGCTTCTTCACAGAAGGAACACAAGGGGATTTTCAGAAAGTCACCTTAGTACTGACACTAGGAGAGCTCCTCTAATACTGCTCAGTCCTTTGAGCGCCCAAACCCTCAGGGGCGGAAGGCCCCTCCCGCCGCAGCCATACTCATGCTTTTCAGCTTATTATCTTTTTTCCACTTCATTCTGCGGTTTTGGAACCAGATTTTAATTTGTCTCTCGGAGAGGCAAAGAGCATGTGCTATTTCAATCCTTCTTCGGCGGGTCAGGTAGCGGTTGAAGTGGAACTCCTTCTCCAGCTCCAGCGTCTGGTAGCGTGTGTAGGCCGTCCGGGCCCTTTTACCTTCTGGGCCACCTATGTTGTCTGCAACAGAAAAGTCAGCGGTTTAGCTACCAACTAACTCCTCAGCACCTGCTTTCAAGAGTCAGCCATGATCCTGAGCTGGGGAAGAGGCTCAACAAGTCCTCCCCTCCCTCCCCACCTAACCCTTTCAGATCTTCCTTCCTCTTCCTTTCTGAAGAGAAAAACAACGTGATTTGGACTCTGGGAACAACCGGCCCACCTGAGGCTGGAACCCTATCTCGAAGGACAGCCTGGCTCTCCCTCTTTGGCCCTACACCAGTGTCATAAGCAGGGGCACTGCCCTCTCTGGCTGCCCACCGCGCCAAAGCACTGTCTTTTTCTGAGTTCCCAAGTGACCTCCAGGTCACTCACTCCGTTAAAGTTCCAGCCGCCCTAGCCTGCTCCTGTTCCAGCCTGTACGCTTGGGGCGTCCGCTTTCTTTTTTCTCCTTTTCCTTCCCTCTCTCTCTCGCCCCCAAACTTGAGAATCTCGCCTGCCCTCGCCTGGATTATTCCCCCCAAGCCTCTTTTAGGGGCTCTAATTAGTAACGCTGTTTCCCCAGCGTAGCCCTTCTCATAAATTATCCACCCTGACAAGCCCGATTCACGGCCCCTACTACCATCCCTACCTCTCTCCAAGCCCTGCTCGGCTGGCTGGCCTGACCCTTAAGCACTCTCCTAGGCGCTGGGATTCCAGATGGAATTTCTTCCTCTTTCAACAACCTCTAAACTTGCTCGGCTACCCCATTCCCCCACCCCCACCCCCCAGTATTTGTGAATACAGGATGCTGCTGCAGTAATGGAGAGGAAGTAGAGGAAGGCAGGGAAAGGAGAACCGCAGGGAGAGGCTCTGCAGGCTGGAGAGAGGCGAGATTAGGAAAGAGATTCGGAGAGAGGCTGCAAAGAACAGAGAGTGACCGAGACCCGCGCCCCCACGGACGCGTGGATCAGAAAACGGCTGGCTTTACCGTGACTAATGTGCAGCTTGCGCATCCAGGGGTAGATCTGGGGCTGAGCCGGCGGCGCCGGGCTGGGCTCGCTCTGGGCGCTCGCCTGCTCGCTGCTGGCAGGGGCGTCCTCCTCGGTTGCGGACGCCGTGCCAACCCCCTCTCTGCTGCTGATGTGGGTGCTGCCGGCGTTGGCCGAGGCGCCGCTGGAGTTGCCCAGGGAGTTTTTCCCGCCGTGGTGGCTGTCGCTGCCGGGCGAGGGAGCCACCGCCGAGCAGGGCAGCGGGTCGGGCGGAGGCGAGTGCGTGGACGTGGCCGGCTGGCTGTACCTGGGCTCGGCGGGCGCCGCACTGGCCCCGGCCGCGTAGCTGCGGGCGCGCTCGCCAGAGCCAAAGTGGCCGGAGCCCGAACGGCCGACGCTGAGATCCATGCCATTGTAGCCGTAGCCGTACCTGCCGGAGTGCATGCTCGCCGAGTCCCTGAATTGTTCGCTCACGGAACTATGATCTCCATAATTATGCAACTGGTAGTCCGGGCCATTTGGATAGCGACCGCAAAATGAGTTTACAAAATAAGAGCTCATTTGTTTTTTGATATGTGTGCTTGATTTGTGGCTCGCGGTCGTTTGTGCGTCTATAGCACCCTTGCACAATTTATGATGAATTATGGAAATGACTGGGACATGTACTCGGTTCCCTCCTACGTAGGCACCCAAATATGGGGTACGACTTCGAATCACGTGCTTTTGTTGTCCAGTCGTAAATCCTGCCTGATGACCTCTAGAGGTAAACTCGTGCACTAATGGGGGAGTTGGGTGGAGGCGAGAGGGGTGGCGCGCGCGCCTTGGGCGCGTGCCCGCCACCCGCCGCCGCCGTTCAGTCGGACTCGAGCGCCACCCTCTGGAGGCAGGGAGCATCACATCGCTTCCGACCTCGGGCTGCAAGGGCCGGGGTCGAATTGAGGTTACAGCCCATTATGGCAAAATTATTGCATTTCCCTCGCAGTTCCATTAGGATGTACCAATTGTGAGGCCGTCAGCTGCCGATCGCACGCCCGGCGAGGATACAGAGGATTAGGGGGAGGTGGTGACTTGGAATATTTACAACAACTTTATTTCCCTGGCTTTGTAGACCCTCTTATTTTTGTATAGAGGTTGGGGTCGGTTCTGCCCGTCCGGCCCGCAGCTGTGAATTTTGAAAACACAGATATCACCTTCGGGGAAGGGAAGAACATTTAGCCAATGGAAGAAATAAATCCTGCCCACAGCAGCAGCCACAATTACGGCTCTGTTTTTGTGAGCATGTGAAGGACAGAGTCCCTGCCGCTCTTAAACGACAGGCGTCTATTAAAGACAGCTTTTGTGTAGTGTTTCTCCGAGGCGAGGTCAAATTCCATACATTCGTATAACCAGAGTCGATTTTTCTTCCGTGTAAATATGTTTTTCGTATCATTAGTTTGTTGTCTGATTTGATTATTTATCCAGCCCGGAATGTCTTCATCCCTGGTCCGGTTCCTCCAGCCAGCCGGGCCCCAGGTAGCAAGGTTCTTGGTGAACCCAGAGAGTGGACCCTGACTCTCTACAGCCTCTGAGTCTATTTGAAAGCTGGGATCCGTGGGTAGAGCTATTTGGGTCTTGCTTAAACCTCCAGGAATAAATTGCGGGAACTAATGGAATCATTTCGTGGCAGTGCCTAGTATCTCCGTAGCTATTTTCTTGGACTCCGAGAAAGACCAAAGTAAATCACAAACGTAGCTGAGAGGCAAGCAGACTCTCCCTACTAGAGGCCTGGCATCACAGGCGTCCTTGGCACGTGTGGAAGCTAGGACTCTTCCAGCTCCCCTGGTCCTAGGTCCCCTCTTTTGGTCCCGAGAGCTACTAGGTGGTAGCGCCGAAACTGTACGAGGCAGGGCGTGGGATCGGGAGCTCGAGAGGCTATCCACTCCTGCCCAGGTTGGATCTCCTCGGCTGAAGCTGCGGTTCTCCCATTGACGGTCATGCGCCAGCAGAAAGACTTGGTTCTGTCGGGGAAGAAGGGAGTTCCCCTTTGTTCCTCCAGCTTCTTGTTTAGGGGCATCCTGAGAGGCTGCGACAGGGCTGGGGCCCAGCTCTTAGGCCCTTTCTTTCCAGTAGCCAGAGCCGATTTGGCGATACCCTTCAAGATTTGATGGCGAGGGACCAAGGTGGAAAAACACAGACACCAAACCAGGCATTGCCTGGGGCTCTTTCTTCCCCTAACAACCCAGTGTCTGTAGCTCAGGGAGCGCAGAGGCGCTAACGCAGCAGCAGGGCCAATTCTGGGTGCACCTCGGGACTCCCAAGCTGGCTCGAGCAGCTTTGGGGAGAGAACCTGTGTGTGTGTACAGTGCGTCTGTCCCACAGCTGACATTGGGTGTATGAGCTTTTGTTTTGTTTGTTTTCTGTAATAAGTAAATGTGCAGACATTTGCAAAGCCTTGGATTTCCCTAAGCTGCGGAAGCATCCGGGAGCAGGCTGGAAGAAACTTAGGGAGCAGGCAGAGGCGCCAGGGGGCAAAGCCAATGGAGGTCAGGACGCTGGCCTGGTCCCTCCTGCCCTGGAGTCTACTCGCCCGCCTTGGCCTCCGAGTCTTCCCCGCTGGGCTGTGTGGAATTGATGAGTTTATTTTCCTTTTTCCACTTCATGCGCCGATTCTGGAACCAGATCTTGATCTGGCGCTCGGTGAGGCAGAGCGCATTGGCGATCTCGATGCGGCGCCTCCGAGTCAGGTAGCGGTTGAAGTGGAATTCCTTCTCCAGCTCCAGTGTCTGGTAGCGCGTGTAGGTCTGGCGGCCTCTGCGCCCGTGACTCCCATACACCGCACCTGCAGGCAGAAATGCGGTGCGGGTAAGCAAGGCCAAACGAATGCACTCCAAGTGCCTCCCTCCAGCAGACTCTAAGCTTGAAACCACCCTCCTTCCACCATAGCTTCTAGCACCACCACCCAACCGAGGGCAAAAGTCGGCAGGATGGCAATGGTAGTTTCATACCAAGCGAGATGTTTTTCACCTAACAACGACTTGGGGTGGGAAGTTACTGCTTTTGACAAATGTGGTTTGTGAGAAAACCATTACAACCAAGAAATAGCATGGGCATTCTTAATTTGAGGGGCTAAAGTCACTGTTTCAAGGGAGGGTAGCCTTTATTTGTCTGTAGGTGGAATAGGGATCCTGGGAGTAGCATGAAAACCGAATTCTCACATATGGTGTCTGCAAAAGATGCTAGGGAGGCTCCTCATGTCAGATCTCAATGTATTTCTGGAAACTTGAATATGGCCAGCAAGTTATGTGACTCATCTGAACATACTCCACTGGGAGAGGGAGATTTAAAGCAACAGCACTATAGGTTTTTAAGTCCCCATTAGGCTCTGTCCTGCTGCAAGGGGCAAGGGGGACTGACTCCCTGTGGAATCTTTGAGAACCTGGGGTTAAGAAATGGTCGTGTAGGTGAGGTGTTGGGGTTCTGGTTGTGCTGACTGTATGGGCTGTCTGGGTGCCAGAGGCACCCAAACCAGGTGTGAGGCTCAGGTAGGGTCTCAGGAGGAGATGGATATTGGCTAAAAGTGTGAGTTGAATGGAAGGTAAAAATGGGAGGAAGGAAAGAGAGACAGAGAGAGAGAGATAGGGGAGAGAGGAGAGACAGAGAGGAGAGAGAGACATAGATAGGGGAGAGAGGAGAGACAGAGAGGAGAGAGAGACATAGATAGGGGAGAGAGGAGAGACAGAGAAACAGAGGAGAGGGGGGGGAGAGAGGGAGAGACAGAGACTGTGAATGCTCTGAGGAGGTGGCCCTTCCTAGTCCCATAGCTTTGGTGGAGGACCCTGAAAGGGCTCAGATGAAGAGGGCCTCTGCCTGCCTGGGCTTCCGAGGGGCAGAAGACAGAGGAGTGGGAATGTGAAGGGGCTTGTTCATGGTGCCTGCTGGAGGCCTCCTTTGCTTGGAACCCTGAGGGGTGTTACAAGGGTGCAGCTGAGCAGGCTTTCTCATCTCAGCCAGCTTCCTTCTTCTGTTGCCCCTGGTCCAGCTCTCATATAGCTTGGCAGCGCATCCTTCACCCTCCCCTGAAGTGTCACTTTACATGATTTCATAGCCCTGTCTTTCCTCTGGCTGGGCCTGACTGCTCCACTGGGGGGGGGGATGTTTGGGTTTTTTTTTTTTTTTCTTTCTTTCTTTTTAAAAATTTTCTTGAAAGAAAAAGAGAGGAGGAAACTTTATTCATCCTTTCCTTCTTCCTATCCTCTCTCCTTCCTTCTTTCCTTCCTTCTTTCCTTCCTTCTGTCCTTCCTTCCTTGTCTGCCTGCCTGCCAGCTTTTCCTTCTCCCTACACTCTCTGGGGTGGGGGAGCAGGGAAATACCTTACCCGCACAGGAATTCATCCGCTGCATCCAGGGGTAAACAGGGCTCGTGTACTTCCGGTCGGTGCCTTCCTCATGGAGGGCTTTGCCCTGAACGCTGCTGCTGTCGGGTTTGTACTGCTGCTCGGGAGAAAAGTGCAGGTAGTCCCCGGGGCCCCTCTGCTTGCTATTGCCCGAGGGTGAGGCGCCACTGAGGTCCTTATCAGAATAGAAACATGAGGCCCCGTACTCGTAGGATGCCCGGTTGCAGGCCAGGACCGAGTTGGACTGTTGGTAAAAACAAGGTGAGGTGTACGTCTTGTCCGGAAGACTCGACGCCCCATAAGAGGCCGGGAAGGGCCTCAGCGCGTCATAACCGGCGGGGTAGAGGGGCAGCTGGCCCAAGAAGGAGTCCTGGCCGCTGGGCAGGCTCCCAGGGAAAGTGGGATTCACAAAATAGGAACTCATTTGCGCGCCCCTCTGCAGGACTGTGATTTGTTGTGTATTAGTACATCTGGCTATAACTATTAGTAGTCATCGAACTGGTTTGTTTCTGGATGGCCGAACGCCAAAAGCGACAGCAGCAAATCGCACCAGCTGACGCAGCGGCGGCCAATGGGAGCGAGCGCCGGAGCCCGCTCCCCGGGGACCGCGGCGACCGAGGCAGCAAAGTTACAAACAGCCCCCAGCCCGCCCGCCCGCCGCCCGCCCGGCAGATTAATGGGCGCACACAACCAGCCAGCCCCTCGCTCTCCCCCACACACCCCCGGACGCCAGCGGCGGGCACGGCCCGGGCAGGGATGTGCAGATCAGAGTCATGTAGAGACACTAGTGCCCAGGTCAATGAGAAGGCCCCACCAGGCCTACTCTTTCCTCTTAGCCTTTTTGCCTTGTTGATTTTTGCTGCTTTTCCCTTCCAAACAGGAAACCTTTGACAAGCTTGAGCCAGAAGGGGCGGTGACTAGAATTGCTTTGCTCTGCTTTGCTGTCCCAAGCAGGTCCTGAGTTACCCCCGCCCCCTTGTGCTCCCTTAATCATGGGTGTAGGGGTCTTGAGCTGGAAAGGCCTCCACTCTCTGATTTTCAGCCCTGTGCTTTAGGGATCCGTGAACGCCTTATCCCCTACCATTCTTACAGCAGGTCGGGCCTTACTGTCAAAAGCTGAAATACCTCCCACCCCTCGCTGACCAGGCCCAGGCCAAAGGCAGGGCCTTCCTGCAGACCCTTCTTCCCACCACACTCCTTGCTTGACTCGCCTGAGACGGCCTGTGCCTGCGTAGGCTTAAACCGGCTGTGCACTGCATCCTGCCTTTGAACCCAGAGAAATGAAAAGCTAAAACCCACGGTTTCAATGAGAGATGATCTACAGAAGTGTTTGAGGTAGGGAACTAGGAAGCCAAGCACAGGACTTACCTCCCCTCACCCAGCGTCCCAGGACTCCCCTAAGCTACTAGAACTGCTCAGAGTGGTGGCAGACAAAACTCCAGATACAATCTCTCCCTAGTCTCATTCCAGAAGCAAGAGAGGGGCAGGGCCCCCGGTTGAGTAGGGCAGCTCATGGGGCCCAAAGCTTTGCCTAGGGTATCAATGGGCTTGGTTTCCTGGTAACACTGTCCTGGGGCATACCCTCTTGTCCCCCACCCCTAAAATACTCCTACTGCTGCTGTAGCTCCAAAACTAGAATATTCCTGTCACCCTGTCACCAGCTAGAAAACCCTGACTTGCCTTGACCACCCGCCCAGGCCTGGCGATCCCCAGACTGGACATGGAAACCCTCCTTGGACTTGCTTGCACAAGGATCTGTCTCATTTTGTAAATGTGATATCGGTTCGATGGCATTTTCACGACTGTGTTTGTAGGGCTTGTAAAAGCTCTTAAATCAGCTTTAAAAATTCCAATTCTGTGGGCGGCAGAGAGACTATTTACGAGATTTGGTTGGAATTCAGGAGGTTGTTTGCAAGATCTGTAAAAAGCTAGCTGGCCCAGGCTGACTGATGGGATTAGGGTTTGGGGCGAGGTGACAGTTGGTAATGGCCCTGTAGGAATCTAGTAAAGACTTCCTTAATCTCTTTGCTTTTCTCTTTTTTTCCCCCCTGACCTTCCTCCTCCCGAAAAAGGGAAAAATTGGAAAAGGGGTGGCCTGAGGTCGGCCCCCAGAGAGCCTACGGAGGTACACAGCAGGGAGGCTATGCTAGAAAGAAACCTTGTGCCTAAGTCTTTATCTCTGTAACCCAAGAAAGTTTTTTCTTTCTTTCTATAAAACCAAGAATTATCCAGGAGAGAATAAAATTTAGCATTTTCACAGAGAAGATGTAATGCATAAAAAATGAAAACTCGAGAAAAAATGGGAGATTTTTTTTTCTTAAAAAGCTGTTTGGATAAAATAAGTTTGAGTTATTGACTCTTTAACAAAAGAAATCAGACAATTACTTCAACCAATATTATTTGAAGTGAAAATAGTCACTTTGCGGGTATTAATTGTTTACATTTATCATTTCTCTTCCTTTCTTCCATGTCCTGCACAGGCTTGGAGCTGGTGACAGCTTACCACTATTATTGTTATGCTTTGACCTGGATTCTAGATTTAATTGTCTCAGCCAGTAAGAGAATTTGATTCCTCAGCTAGGAGCCAGACAATGTATTCCCAGCTTTTGTAAACATTAAGATAGAAAAACATTAAATTGAAATCTTTACATGTAAGACAAGGCTAGGGCATATTTAAGTTGGCGGTCGATCCATTTATTCTTCCATATATGTGTATATACATACATGCATACATAATACTTGTGGAGAGAGAGAGGGAGTCAGTCACTCCTGACTGATCCACTGACAGGAACTCCACACCCTCAACAGAGCCTCTCCTGAGGTGATGAGCGTGACCACCCCAGGACTCTGTTAGGTCACAGCCACACAGAAAACTTACCTTTCATCTTCTCTTCAAAGGGTAGTCTGGCAGTAGGGTCGTACAGTTTGCCCTTGCCCTGGGCTGCCCATTGAGCCCCTCCACTTCGACCAGCCTGGAGCCGGGCCTGCAGGTGTGTGGCAGGACCCCGAAGGTCCATCTCCAATCAGCCAAATCTCTAGCCAAGAACCCAAAGCACACAGGTGTGGCTTCTGCCAGTCAGAGGCCCTCTCCAAGAGCCGCCTTCCATACCATAGCCAGTTTTCAGGGCCGACCAGGCCAGCAGGCCTCAGAACTACAATTGGTCTTTCCGATGTCAGAATCTCAAAGCCAACGCGTTCCCCAACTGGCAAGTGGCGGGCGCCCCCGGGACGCCTTTGGGACGCGTAGTTTGGAAAGAAGCAGCCATGACCAGCCAGGCGGCCTGTGCAACCAGTCTCCATGGTGCTGGGTTGGGGACGAGGGAAGGACCCGAGTCTATTCCGGCGGCTGACGTTTCTATTATGGGTAGCCGAAGCAGGGAGGTTTCACAGCCAAACAGACCCTGGGAGACTCTCCCTGATGTCCCCTTTTGTCCCCCCCTCCCCTTCCCCTGCTTCTGGGGAATCTCTGAGGGGCCCGTACAGCAGTCGCGCCAGGCTCGAAGAGGCGGGCCGCTGCTGGCGCCGGTCCCGGCGACGGCCACAGCGTGGCAGCAGCGAGCTCCCAGCACGGTCGCAATAAATAATCTGCCCGAGGCAGCCACAGTCAGGCAGTCAGCGGCCCTAGGAGGCAAATGCGGTGCTTTATCTGCCCCTGCCCCGGGCGCACCCACAGCGTTGTCCAGCGAACACACCAAATATCAACGTGTCCTTCTTAATTGTCTGGCCTAGGTCGAGATACTATCTTGAGTTAGGAAAACAACAACAACCAAAATCCAAATAAACAAAAAGAACTGTAGCTCAGAACCTCACAGCTGCTTCTCAAGTGGCTGTCTCTCGGGGGCAAATCTGATCTGGTCAGATGCCCTTTCAGGCCCAGCCACCATGGCTGGCACCACCACGCGATGCAAAACAACAGCCAAGCCAGCAGTACTCAGTGCCGCCTCTCTGCTAATTGTAGTCCTCTCCCTGTGGCTTGGGAGACGGGGACATCAGGCTGCCACTGTCCTTAAGTGGATTGGGACTGCTATCCTGTTATTTCTCAGACTCCGTTTTGCAACTTTCATCCATAAACCTTAGATGTGGTCCTTCCACATGCGCCAACACAACAGTCCTCTGCACCGAAACATTCCCCAGTAACACCCAACTAATTCGATTCTCTCCTCCAACACAGAATTCCACAGATGCACCTAGCCCCTTTCCCGGGGCTCCAGCCACCACTCTGGTCGGGAAACCGGGCAAATGAAGCAAGCAATCATCGGAGAACTCTGAATTAGTAAGTTTTGCTTTTGTGTTTGCTTGTTTAGCCTGCTCTCCCCTCTCTCTGAGACTAGCCCCACAGGACAGAATAGTGTGTTGAAGCTAACAAAATGCCCGTGGGTTACCTCGCGTTGCTCTGCTCTCTGCCCACATTTCCAGGTCGGGAACTAGCTCTGGTTATTGGGGAGTCAGCTGAATCAATTGGGTCAGGAATGAAATAATCCCAACCCCCAGGGAGGCTGATAGGGAACAGTAGAATGCCAGATGCCTTTCCTTTGGGCTTCTTGGGGTCAGTGTGGGGAAGCGAGAATGAAGACCTAAGCCTTTCTGCCCAGTGCCAGGGCACTGTGCCACAGAGAGAAGGCTGAGCTGCCTTGAGGGAATGATGCAGGTGATGGCGGTAGTAGGGGAGAATGAGTGATGTGTTTGGGCTGTGCTGTGTTTGGGGCCGAGTGTGAAGGGCTAGTACCGATGATGGTGAGAAATGTCCCCATTTCAAAGTCGTTCTGTGTGCCCTCTCCCAGCACTCACCCACCTTTGCCCTGTCTCCTTCCCACACGTCTCTCACCTTCAGACCTCGGCTCCCAGAAGCTCCTGCCTCTCTGACAGCTGTCGCTTCGGCAGCCCAGGAGACGAATTGTCCTCCTTCCTGGTGCCAGAGGACGCAGGAAATTAGCCAGGTTGTGAGTTGCAAAGCGGCGGCTGCTGCTCCAGGAACTGGACGCGCCCCACCTCCAGCGACAGCGGCCGGCCTGGGCCTGGCAGCGGCCTCCCCTCGCTCGCCATCGCCGGACAAAGCGCAGCCCAGGCAGGCTGGGAAGGCAGAGCTCCGAAGCACGCTGGATGGAGCGGAGCAAAAGAATGCGGCTCTATTCTCACAAGGGAAATTATAAAAAAGTTCATGTTCACGGTTCCTATCCACATGACCGACAGCGGCCAATGGTAGGGCCGAACAACTCATAAAGTTGTATTGCAAAGTTGTAAATTTTCATAAACAACAACGGATTTATGACCCTTTCCCCATCACTAAGAGGAGGCAGCTCTTACACCGGCGCCATCTTACCACCGAGGCTGTCCCGACTTGGGGCTGCAGGTTTTCCAGACCCTTTTGGGTCCGATTTTCATTTAAAAGGAGTCCCAAGAAGCTGACTCTTCCCAACCAGGAGATAAGAAGGGAGGTCTTCCGCGGGCCACGCTCAGGATGCTCTATGCTCCTTCCACAGCCCTAGCCCTCGTCCCTGGTCCCTTGCCGCTCTCCCCTTCCACAGCACAGTCCCTCCTCAGCAACAGGACCTGCCTAGGTTGCACAATCAGGTCAGAGGTCCATGGCAGTCCCAGAACCCCTCCACTGCAGTGTTGGGCCCTGGGGCATCTTCGCCTCTATTGAAGGCTAGTGCGGGTACTGCGGCAAGGACCCCAATCCCATTTCCTACTCTAGGGTTGGACTCAGGGAGCATGCGGAATCAGTTGGAGGGCAGGTAATAATACCCTTTGAGAGCTCAGTCTACACCTTTAGAGGAAAGGTTGAATTTGGAATTCGTTCTTGGAGTTTGTGGAAGAGTAGGAGTCCATAGATAGAATGGACTGTGTTAACTAATAGCTGTTTTCAATGGATCGAGATATTGGTGCACACACAATAGCCAGACAAAAACGTCTACAAGGAGGAAGGCACGTGTATAATTATAGATGCAGAAAAATGTGCGAACACAGAGACACACACATCCGATTATAGACATGGAAAATGTTAACACTCAACACAGGTACACACATCATGGATGTGGACATGTGCAGTTAGGAAAACTATAAGCAATCACACACAAAAATAGAAACACGCTTATTCATATAAATCTACACACAAAAAAATGGAAAGGGAGATGTGAATATCTAAAATTTGGACTCAAGGACAGTCTCTGCACATTGGTTTCCCTTTGGTCCTTTGACCTACAGCCAGGGCTTGCCCTTAAGTTATGACCACCTCCCCTTGCCCCAGCCCCTCTGGATAAAGTAGTCCATGTTTCTTTGTCGCCAAGCATCTTTATTGTTACATAAAACATAGGTAACCGGGCTGGGAAGCATGCCTTCCCTGAACCCCAGTCTGGGTTTAAGGGGGACATGGAACAACAAGGGAGATAATGGGCACCCAGGGTGGGTATTGGACCTCTCAGCCACTACAGAATTAGTTCAATACGACACACCATGCTACAAAGTCACCCCATAAAGCATCTCCCCAAGTCAAGACATTCCTTTACAAATGAGTTTCACGATTATAGAAATGACAAAAACAATCTGTTCAAATATACAGTGTTTGCCCTCGGTAGGAAAAGTCAGGGTATAGGTATACAGATTTGACATGGCTGAACAGTAGGACACAGAAGCAAGGGGAGGCACAGTGAGGCTGAGAGCATCTCCTTAGCCGCACAAAGCCAAAGCTATCCCAGAGGTCTGCAGCCAGGTCAGGGATGTTTCCCTCCAGAAGGAAGGGCAATGGCCCTGAACTTCAGGTGCCAAAGCCAGAGAAAGAGGGATTCTACGATGCAGCAGCATTTGATATGCTTTGGAATAAATATATTATTTCTCAATTTAAATAGAAGCCAATGCTCTGGTCCCTGAACCTCATTGCCTTGTTAGTGAAGCCTTGGTGACCCCAAAGACTATCAGCTAAAAGCGTCAGGGCCTGGCAGGAGAGGCAGGAGAGCCGGCCAGCACAAAATAGGTAGTTTAGGCCTAGTAGGTAGTACTGATCATGTATTTGCAGGGATGGGGGGTGGCGGGTGCTGGGTGTCTGCCACTGTTGGGACGTGGAGGGGGCTTCTTGGGAGTGGCGGCCCCCTGGGGCTGGGACCATAGGTAGTTTGGGGGTGCCTCTCAAGGAGGCCTGTGCTAGGTAGTATTTTGGTTGTGCCAGCGCACAACACTGGCCCAGGGTTGGGGGTATCTACTGGGGTCCTCAGAGGCAGAGAGGGTCCCCAAGGTGACCTAATCTCCCCCTGGGAGCTAGAGTGGGTGATGGAGTGGGTAGAATGAGGGCGGGGACTGATTCCCTCTTTTTTCTTTTCTTTTTTTCTTTCTTTCTTTTTTTTTTACACTTTATTTCCCCCCATTTTTGTAACTAAAATGAGTGAGTCTCTTAACGACGCTTTTCCGACTGTCCTGTGCAGCCAGGGCCCTGCGCTTGGGCCTTTACTCCTCTTCCTCCTCTTCCTCCTCCTCTTCCTCCTCATCCTCCTCATCGGCCTTGTCAGCAGCTGCGGTGGAGACGGAGGGCACCGCATCTTCGGGAGCTGCAGTGGGAGCCTGGCTCTCATCTTTATGCTCTTTCTTCCACTTCATTCGCCGGTTCTGGAACCAGATCTTGATCTGGCGCTCGGTGAGGCAGAGCGCGTGAGCGATCTCGATGCGGCGGCGGCGCGTCAGGTAGCGGTTAAAGTGGAATTCCTTCTCCAGCTCCAGCGTCTGGTAGCGCGTGTAGGTCTGGCGTCCCCGCTTCCTATCCGGTCCTGAGAGCAGAAATGTGGACATATAGACAAACAGACAAGCAGACTGGGATGTGGATAGAAGAGTGCTTTAGTCAGGCCCACAGTCCAAGAGCCTGTACCTCACACCCAGCCCTAACCCAGGCGCAACCCCGATCGCCCCCAGTTGAGCTGGGGGAGGAGAAGTGTGAGCGGAAGACCCCGGGGCCAGACAGCAAGCCTGTCTGCGAAGAGCCTTGGAGCAGAATTCCAACTTTACAACCGGCCTTTCCAGCCGGCTACGTTTCTACAATGTCCTGCTTCCCCTTGACAAAGGGAAATTGTAAATATAGAGTGTGGCAAGTGGGAGACTCTGCACTTTTGCCATTCAAAGGCAAGCCTGGCTAGAAAGTGTGCAGCCCTCCTTGGCAGCCCCATGCACAAGACCTTCCTGTGGCAATCCCACCCTCTGTCCCATTTGCTCCAACCAGGGTCTGGAAATGGCCTCTGGTACAGGGGAGGGTGTAGGATCCCGGAGGTCCTGGCTCTCCTTGCCTTTGAGAAAGAAAGCTAGGCCGAAAGAAAAGGAGGCGGTGGAGACTTAGCTGGATGGAGTCAAGAAAGGAATGGAGAACAGGAGAGAGGGGGATGGAGGAGAGGGAGACTGAGGGAGAGAAAAAAAGAGGGCGGGGGGGGGGGGAGAGAAAGAATATGAGGATGAGAATAGCGAGAAACTTACTGTAAAAATTCCAAGGCAAATGGAGTTAAATAAATTTACGAGGATCGAACCCATTAATTGGGCCATAAAAAGTTTTATGAGCCTCATTTACATACAATGCTACGGGTCTCTCCACGCAATGGCGCCTCAGCTCTAATTAAAACCAGAAAGGCAGCGCCACCGGGACTTGCGGGGCTGCCGGCTGGAAGCCGCCAGGCTGGGCTCTCTCGGGCCCCCGCGCCCCGTGCCCACACCCCCCGCTCCGCTCGCACGTCGACCCGGCGGGCCGGGGCGCCTACCTGAACTGCGCATCCAGGGGTAGATACGGAAACTGGCCTCGGCCGGGCCGTGCAGCACGCCCTCGTCCGCCTTGTCGCAGGCGCCTTTGGCGAGGTCACTGCAGAGCCCGGGGATGTTTTGGTCGTAGGAGGCGCAGGGCAGGTTGTAGGCGTCGGCGCCCAGGCCATAGCCCGAAGCGAAGGGGCTCTGATACAGGGGGCTGTTGACATTGTATAAGCCCGGCACCGTGGAAGCGAAGGCGCCGGCGCCCGGACCGTAGCCGCTTCTCTGCGAGTTGGGTGCAAAGGAGCAAGAAGTGGGCTCGGCATTTTGGAAGAGAGAAGCCCCCGCCGTATATTTGCTAAAAAGCGCGTTCACATAATACGAAGAACTCATAATTTTGACCTGTGATTTGTTGTCCGGCAGCTTTCAGTGTCGGTTTTACGAGGTAGCGTGATATATGATAACATTACACCCCCAGATTTACACCAAACCCCATTTTCTTTTGGACGGATCTCGGCGAGGCACGTGACCGCCCACATGACCGCCTCCGCCAATCTCAGCAGCCCTCACAGGTGGTCTCGCGCCACGGGCCGGCGGCCGCCTAGAATGGAAGGGGAAGAGGCTCAAATGCGCGGCCCACGCAGCGGCCTGCACCCCGTGGGCCCTGGGACGCCTGACGCAGTCAGAGCTCCATCCTGGCGCCTGAGCCTGGTTCCCGCAGGGCTCGCCCCCCACAACCTCGTACCCATTCCTGAACCCCAGATCCAGTGTGTGGATTGCTCCTGTTCATGTCCACTCTGCAGACCCAAGCCCCTGCAGGGTCTCTGCAACCTGTCGGCCCAAAGATGGTCTTGAGAGAAAGATCTTGCCCACCTCTCCCTGCCAAGCAGGAGAACGTTTGAGGCCGCCGCTTTGATGCTCCAGCGCAAACTCTGCAGGCGCAGCGGCTCCCCTAGCTGAGCAGCCAGAACGCTGCCACAAAACTGGAACCATGTGGTTCGAATAAAGTCAATGTCTCCCAGCTTCCTTTCTTTAATCGGCGGAGCACTGTTTATCCGCCCTAAAGGAAGCAGTGAAATATTTATCTATTAATGAGCCTCATTTGCCAACAGATTTATTAACATGGGATTCCCTTTCCTCCTCCCGCACAGGAGCGAAGGCAGTCCCCCTGAATTCACTCCTGGGCACCTGGCTGGCCCGCAGCAGCTCAATCGGTGGCTCGCTCGACACCCCCTTTGTTATCCCTGGATCACCGGGGAAGCTGGGTCATCCTCCTGGCAGCCTGGAAGTTCGGCTCCACAATTTTCTAAACACATCCTTCATATACTGGGAGGTTTCTGGCAGCTCTCAGCCAAGCTACCCCTGGACTTGTGGGCCAAGGAACAGCAGACTGATAGAGTTGATTTAGAGAGAAGGGGGAGGTATCAGGGACTGGGGTCAAAACCCACCACAGAACCCCAGCTTTTAGGAGACTATAAAAGCAAAGGAGGGAACTTAAGCACTTAAGCACTGGTGCACAAACGCAGTCTTATTCCTTCTCTCCCCCAAATAGTCACTCACCCTGGGGGCCTGCCTTGCGGGGTTCAGACCCCCACGGCAGTGATAAGTCAGATGAAGGCCCTGCTGCCCAACGCTCTCTGGAGGATGTTTGGGTGAACCCTTTCCCTAAACGCCTCATAAACTGCCCAGGCCGTGCTGGAACACTGGCCACCTTTTACTGCTCAACTCGATTGCACATCATAAACCCGACTTCACAATGGAATTGCCCCGGAAATTCTCCTCTAAATTATAGAGTTTGGTTCCTGGTGTACAAAGCATTTTCCTTATCACTTTCAGTGGGTCCAGGCTGCCCCCACCCCGGTTCACCGCATCCTCTCAGGGGGTCTTAGGAGCACAAAAGAGGAAGGACGGTTCAAATCCTGCTGCAAGGGAGACCCAGGATCTACCTAGCAAAGGGCCCAGGCTTTGGTGGGGAGGAGGGCAGGTGGGAGCTGGGTTATCTTTCCCAGAGCTCAGGGACCCTGGGGCGGCAATATCCGGGATCCCCTCTATGGTGGATCAGGATGGGAAACAGAGGGGGTAAAACAGGAAGGGGGAAAAATCCAAATAACAGCATCTTCTAACAGAGAAGTAAAATTCTAGAAAAGCGAAAGGAAGGCGAAGCAAACAAAAAGAAGTCTAGGAGATCAAAGAGTCGAAATTAGGCGGCTTTAGACCAATAAATTGTTCCTGGGGTGACACCGAGCAAGGCGCAAAGTGAAAGACTAGGCAGGCTGCCGCGGTCTGTCTAGACCCACACGACTGGAGCAGTTCAACACGGCTATGTTTAAAGTGGAACTTTCCTTTAGAAGGAGACCTGACAACCAGGGTGCGGAGCGATTTGAGGTAGCACAGAAAAAAAAAAAAAAAAAAAAAAAAAAAAGTCACACTCACACGCCTAAGAAGGTCTTCTCGATTTGGCCCTGGCGCGGACCGAGGAGTCCCGGCAAGAGGCTCTGCCCCCGTTTGCCAAATAGGATCCAAATTCTGCTGCTTTCAAGGCCTTGGCACTTCTGGGCCCAAGTCTTCCATCTGAGGTCCCCTGAGGTCACCGAAAACCTTTCCCTTCGTTTCTGGGTCTCTTTTCCCTGGCTAGACTTCACAACACAAAAGTCTGAACAAAATCGGACTCTCAATAAGGCCTATTTATTTATATGCTCCCTGGCCACTGGTTCCCTATTTATTTGACAGAAATATATCTGCTATACATAAGATTCACATACTACTTAACCCAGGCCCTGGAGAAGACGCCTTATAAACTAGATTTTAATATGCAGAACTATCTAAATATTTCTCAACGCTTTCCCAGAGTTAGCTTTCAAGCCTACTGTCAGAGTTTGTTTCCTCTATTTCCTGTCGCCAAATAGTATTCAATGTTTAAATCTAGATTTAGAATGTTAGCCCAGACCTTGGCAGAGAATGACGCCTTCTTGAGAGTCCAATGATCCCAAGTTTGGGGTCTTTAAATGTTTCTATCCTCCTTCCCAGCAGAGGCTGCGGACTTCAGCTTCTGTCCCCCACCTGGTGAGAGGTTTCAAGCTTGGACGCCTATACCAGTTCCTCCCCAGAGCGAATAAATGAGCTCGATTTCTTGCCGGGTGTTGCCGGAGCGAAACCTCTGAAACAACGAAGACCAAAGAGCAGCCTGCCGGCTGCCAATCAGCCAAGGGCAAGTAATGCTGGCGGCCTAGGCAGTTAACCAGGCCTCTGAGCCCCTGGAGGTCCGCACCTACCTGGGGCCTCTGTGATCGGCGCAGAAAAGGGGTGCCGCCAATCTGTGACTTCCATTGTTAGAGAAATGGAGCTTTCTATTTGTGTCCACTGATCAGCGATTTCTCTGATTATGTGCGGTTGCATAAAGAGTGATTTCTGATAATTAGGATAGACTAGTACGGGTGACTCTCCAGGAAGCTATAAACCCTTCCTACAAGCAGAGGCTGTGGAGTAGCGTGTGTTACATACGAAAATATAAATATAATGATGATATGTGTTTATAATGCCCACGTGTATATAGGAAGATTTTTTAAAAGGGAGTAGGAGGGAGAGAGAGAGAGAGAGAGAGAGACGGAGACCCAGGAGAGATTTCAGTCAAAATCGAGTCCCTAGTTTTACAGCGTGTTCAGCACAGAGATGCGAGTCATAAACATTTTTGTGGGCTTGGCTGAGAATATTACGACCCAAATAAATGCACAGCACAGCCTTTTTTAGCGGCGCTTCGAAGGGTTGGTTCTGTGTTTGTTCTTGTGTTTTTCTGAAACCATCCTAAACCAGGGGCTGATCCTCAAACCCTGGCAGCCTTAGCTCTGGGTATATCTTCCCCCTCCCCAGCATTAAAAGTAGGCTGGGAGTGAATGGGGATTTTTGCTTTTAGCCTCCACAGCCGGCGAAGCCAGAGTAGCCTTGGCATTTCAATGCCAAAGAAATTCCTCTGCCAGAAAAGCAAGAGTGACTTCAAACGCATGAACGCCGATCATGGAGTTAGGGTGTTGTTCTACGTATTTAAACATACCATTTATTTTCGATTAGTTCCTAGTCTATGCCCTGAGTTACCCCATCACGGCCAAATTCGCAGCAGATCTACACTAGACAGCAACCAAGTATGATTTTATAACTAACCAATTTTCAGCCGCCTAATTTTAAAGTGAGACATTCAAACCGGCCGAGTCCTGATGTCTGGGCTTCCACTCTCTTTCTGGTGCTGGCTCGCTAGGTCCGGTACCGGTCTCTAAAACAGGGCGCAGGTTTGGGGCCTCGAGGCTCGGCGGGACCCGTGGCCACCGGCTGCGTTCTTTGTGGGCTCATCTGGTCCTAGGGCTGTAGGTGTTCATCCCCTTGTCGTTCTGTCGTGAATGACCGTCCCTGCGCTCCTCGCTGGCCCTAGATCACTGCTGTGATAAGTACTGTGACCCTGGAATGGAACCAGCTCCCTGAGCCGCAGCTCCGCACCAAAAGAACCACACCGCTGCTGCCACCAAGCATCACAGCGGTCTCGGAATGGGGTCTGGGAGGAGTGAGCGCCGATGGTCAGGCATGCCCCGGCGCATGCCTGTGTCCCCGGGAGGCTTTCAGGTTGGCATGAGCAGCAGGGAAAATATACGACTGCTGTTCACGCAGATCCCATTCCAGAAAGGCGCGCTTGAAGTCGACATTTTAGGAGCTTCCTAGGTCCCGGTGGCGGGAGATGGCGGCGAGAGTGCCTCTTGCGTGGAGCCACACTGCCATCTCCTGGATTTCTCTTGGCACTGCAGCAGCAGCTGCTCTGGCCCGCGTGAACTTCGGCAACACCAGTGACCCCACCAGCGTCCCACTCCCATGGGCGGAGCAAGGGCCCTGTCCCCGGGGATCCTCAGGGAGCCGGGAATCTACGCTGCAGAAGGGGCAATGCCCATAAAAGAGGGCTGTTTCCGCAGTCTCTTTATCGGAGGCAGACAGAGCAAACAAATGAAAGGGTTTTGGTGGGATACCCTAATTGGAGCTGGACAGTTGTAAACTCATTAAGAGCCGAATTCCAGACAGTTCGCAGACCTTCCTTTATAGCGACCCTTACTGCCCAGGCTTTGAAGTTCTTTCTGTCTGCAACAACAGAGGGCGTTCCAACCTGGCGGCGCATTGGGGGTGGGGGCGCCCCATTCACCCGCACCTTGGTCCCCCTTTCCCTCGTTAGAAGACCGGTCAACATTGCAGGGGGCGGGTGAAGAAAAGGAGTTGTGGGGGGAAGCGAAGCAGAATCCTCTGGCTACATCTGGAAGGCGCTTGAGCCTCCGAAGTTGTAGTCAGTCCCCCAACGCAGCCCTTTACACCCCATAAAGGGTAACAGCCCTCATTTTCTTTTATGGCGCTTCGGGGCTTGTCGGTTGCTAGGGCCTGCTTCTGTGGGGACTTAAGCTCCGGAGATGGCTTTTAGCAGTGTAGGATGTTGACCCCAGCCCCCCAACCCTCCCGAGCCGGTTGTCAGGACCCAGTGGGGCATGAGGGTGCAGCTTTTCCATCTCCCGAAAAATCCCTAAATATTTGAAGGGGCCACCTCGTTGTTCATTTCTGGCTCCTATCTATCTCCCGAGCCTCCTCAACAGGCCACAGGCCCTCAGGTTTTGGTCCCGCATCCCTCAGCTCGACCGCCTTACTTCCAAAGGCCTCAGTCCTTTTGGTGAGTCCAGGCTTGGCAAAATTTTTGAGGCACCAAAATAAAAGAATGTCCTTCCCATCGCTGCTGGCTACTGATGCCCAGTGTTTCTGTCCAGGAGCTCAGATACAAGGCCCGAGTGACTGACTGGCTGTGTGAGAATCTCCCCAGGTTTCCTCCCTGCTTCTACGGACCAGCAACCGCCTGAGTCCGGAGTGATTAGGCCTGACCCGACTGGTTTCCACAGATGCCGGCTCCAGCACCTTGCTGAAGACGGAATTAGGGCTCTCTCCCCTCCATTTCAGCCCGGCCCCAACCCAGAAAAGGAAGGTGCAAAGAGCAAACTCACACAAAGTAAAAGAATCAATATATTTTATTTGGCAAAAGTTAAATATCTCAACACAACAATTTGGTCAGTAGGCCTTGAGGTAACTATTGCAAAATATACAGTGTATGTTCAGTCAGATGGAAACCCCAAATTCATCAAGGATACAAATCTACAGTAGCCCAATGGCGGTTTCATGGTGCATAATTTATTATCAATAAAATTAACTCCATTACAATAAGCACTCATTTTCTCCCAATTAAAATTAAACGTAAACCATAGGTAGTAACCCTCTGCACATATGTATAGCTCCGAATCTCCTCACTTCTCCTCTGGTGCAAAAACAATATTCAAGCTTGCTTGATTGTGAATATTTCTTTAATATGGAGATGCTATATACACTGGACACGACTGGAGTCTAGAACATGTAAAGATGAAGACGCCCACATTTCAAAAGTAGAGAAATCATGAATCTATGCATCCTAGAGAACTACCTCCCTTTTCTTTCCAAATGTGATTTCGCTGGGAAATCCTTACAGCTCGTTTACAATCCAAGGTTGACAGTCTAATCACACAGTATTCCACTACAGAGCTATACTCTATGCAACTCTTCTCTCCCCCCCATAAACAACCTGAGTTCAAATTGAATTCTAGCTTCCACAATCACAATGGGTGCCTCACCCAACACAGAAGTTTGAGTCACAAAACGTAATTACCACAATAAAACACAGTGTTCAAGTATTTTGGCAGAGTGATCTGCCACACGAAGAGCAAATTAAATTAACTACAGAGACTAAAAACTATTACAGCCCGTCAACAGTTGTGCATTATATATAAAAAGGTAGTTTTTTTTTCCCCTTTTGCTTTAAGTCAGAAGCAGGTAGATTTTTTTTTTAAATATATATACAAGCAAGCACATACAGCCATCAGCGCTAATGCCCTCCCTTGTGTGTGTGTGTGTGTGTCTTATAGAAAATGGAAAGCTTACAATACCTCCTCCAATAAAGCCGCAGGCCTAGGAGCCAGCCTGAGCAGGGACTGCCAGGCGGAGATGAGGCCTGGGGTTTAGAGCCGCTTTGGGCGGGTAGTGGAGGCCGGGGTTGGGGGACAGGAGGGAGAAGGGGACACCTTTCCTTTTCTTTCTAGCTTGCTCTTTTCTAAATGAGCCCTGACAGGCTCATTCGTCTTTTGCTCGGTCCTTGTTGATTTTCTTCATTTTCATCCTGCGGTTCTGGAACCAGATCTTGACCTGCCTCTCGGTGAGGTTGAGCAGCCGAGCCACCTCGTACCTGCGGTCCCGTGTGAGGTACATGTTAAACAGAAACTCTTTCTCCAGTTCCAGCGTCTGATGTTTTGTATAGGGGCAGCGTTTCTTCCGTGTGGAGCGAGCATGAAGCCAGTTGGCAGCCGGGTTATCTGCGGGGGGGGGGGGGGGGAGAGACACTGGGTTTAGAAGGAGAAGTATCCCGGATGGGTGTGGAGGTGACTCTTGGGGGGTCTCTGGCCGAAGTGCAGGATGCCGCTGAATTTGATAGAGAAAACACAAGGAAGCCCTGGCAGACAGACCGGCAGAGGGTCACTTACAACAGCACCCCCCCACCTTCTCCCTCCTCTCTCCGGTCCCCTGCCCCCTGCCTCCCACAGTCTGCACTCTGTGAAAGAGTGAAATTTGGAAACAATGTTCTTTTTGCCAGCAAAGCAAAGAGCAGGCTGCCTTGTGTTCGTGGGACAAAAGTAACAAGAATTCTCTGTCTCTCATCTCTCTCTCTCCCCTTCCCCGGCTTCTCTGCGACTGTCCCCACTCTGTTTGACCTTCCCGGAAGGCCGTGGGAGCCAGGCGGGAGGCAGGATGCCCCAAGGCCTTTGATCGTGTCTCCACTTTATTTGAATAAATCTGGCAAAGGGACCCTCGTGGCTCCAGAGCCCTCAGCCTCGTCTTGGGCAAGATTTACGCAGCAGCCACCGGCCGAAAGCAAGAAGTGGAGGGAACCGGAGGTCTCCCCAAACGTCCCGGGTCAGCTTGCCCGGCTGCTGTTGCTGCCGCAGTTCGTGAACAATCTAGCTGCACAAAAGACGTCTCTGCCCTGCTTTCGAAGAGCCGCCCAAAGTCTGTCTGTCCCGGGCCTGGTCAGTTTAGGAGAGGGGCGGCAGGTCTCGGCTCTACTCGCTGCGCCCGCCCCGCCCCCTCTTGCTGCAACACCCTCCTCCCCTTCCCCCAGCCGGCCCGGCCTGCTCCACACAGTTCCCTGGACTTGGGGCCCCTATCTGAGGTGTTCCAAACAGCAACTTCTGGTTCTCGACCCCAGATCCCCAAGCTCCCATCGAGGACGAAGGCAGGCTCGAGAGAAAGTTGACTGGCTGGTAGATCCTGGCGGCCAGCGTGGAGGCAGCGGCCGGCTGGCAGGAAGGAGAGACTTACTGGGATCGATGGGGGGCTTGTCTCCGCCGCTCTCATTCTCGGGATTGTTTTCGGAGAAGGCGCCTTCGCTGGGTTGTTTTTCTCTATCAACTGGAGGAGAACCACAAGCATAGTCAGTCAGGGACAAAGTGTGAGTGTCAAGCGTGGGACAGTCACCCCTTCTGGCCGACAGCGGTTCAGGTTTAATGCCATAAGGCCGGCTGGAGGGCAAGCCCGCGAAGGAGAGCGCACCGGGCGTGGGCTCCAGCCAGGAGCGCATGTACCTGCCGTCCGGCGCTGCCGCGGCCACGGGCGCCTGGGGGTGCACGTAGGGGTGGTGGTGGTGGTACACTGCCGCAGGCACCGCACTGGCGCCCGCCGCGTGCACCGGGTTCCACGAGGCACCGAACACGGCCGTCTTGGACTGGAAGCTGCAAGGGCTAAAGTCGGGGTGTTCGGCCAGCGCTGCCGCCTGCCTTGGGGGTTGGCCCAGGGTCCCTGGCGCATAGCGTCCAGCGCCCAGCTCGTCAGCAGCGTCGGCGCCCAGCAGGAAGGAGTCCACGTAGTAGTTGCCCAGGGCCCCGGTGGTGGCCATCGCAGTAGCCCGCGCCTGGCCGGCCCAACCCGACCCGCCGAAATTATGAAACTGCAGATTTCATGTAACAACTTGGTGGCACCAAGGGGGGGGGTGAAGTACAGTCACCTAATAAGTTGCCGGCGCCTGCGCCCCCATTGGCCACGCGCGTCACGTGTCCGCCCGGCAGAACAATAACGCGTAAATCACTCCGCACGCTATTAATGGCCCGGTGTTTTGCAGTCATAATTTTTATAGCAAAAGCCATATGTTTTTATGCAAAGGGATCGCGCCGCTCCACGATCTGGTTTGTTTTAATTGTGGCCAACGAAGATTAAAAGATCAAATCTGGCCTTGCCTCTGTACTATTCCTCGCCACCACCCCCCTACACACACACACACACACACACACACACACACACAGACCCACACACTTCTTAAGCGGACTATTTTATATCACAATTAATCACGCCATCAGGAAGGCGCGGGTCCCGCGTGTGAGTGCGGCCAGCAGAGCCCCTCACATAAAATTAGACAATAATTGAAGCCATAAAAAAGCAGCCAAATCGCATTCTCACTCTACTGTATTTAAATCTATATTTATGATATTTCATAAGGAGTTATTGTTTCGGAAGCCACACAGGCTGGTGGGAAGTCAGGAACGACCAACAGATTCGTTTGCCTCGCTGCGGCTCCCTGTAAAAATTTACGAGGACTTGGAAAGGTTAAATTAGACTGTTGTGTTTGGTTGGTGAGCACCCTGTAAATAATCTTTTCGGTCCTCAGAGACGCGAGTTTCCCCCCAGGCCTGCCTTAAAAAAGTCAAATACAAGGCTTTTCCCACCTCAAACAGCGTGGCCACCTCCCTGCTGCAACACACCATCCCATCGATGGTGCAACCGCCTAGAGTGTGCTGTGGAGCCTGGCTGGACTGTGAAGCCAGCCAGGCGCTCGCACAGCACCCAAATAGTCCCTGCTCCACAAGGGAAGGCTCCACAGAGGAACTGCCAAGGATAAAACTGCCAGCTGCCCTCAAGGGTTTGAGAACCTAATTGTGTCACAAGACCGCCTGGGCCCTGGCCCACGACTTTGAGCACAGGCGGTGCAGTGGATTTGATTCCTCAGCCAGCCACTCTGTTCTCAGCTCCATCATCTGTAAGCCCTCTCCCCAGCCCCGAGCTGGGGGAAACAGGAGAGTTTGTCCTGCTAAAGGGCAACCTAGCCTAAAAGAGGTGCATGAGTACTTGCAAGCGGCCCTTCCAGGGCCCAGTGTGAGCCCTTGGGGGTCCTTCCCTCCTCCCCCCTCTTTCCTCTCCTTTCTCTGACACCCCACCTCCTTTCCATTCTTTCCTCTTCCCTTCACTCTCTTCCCTTTCTTCCTTCATTCCCTCCCTTTTCCTTCCTTCCTATCTCCAGCACACACACACACACACACACACACACACACACACACACACACACACCCTGGTTATTCCTGAAACAGAGCAACAGAGATCCCCAAAACTAGGAGGAGCAGTGGACATTGTCTTTAATCATATCCTTTGGCCAAGTGGAAGATGGTATGTCTCACCCTTAGATTTTTTCAGGAGGATAGAAAGTTAAAAAGGCCACAGCCACTATTGTTGTGTGTGTGTGTGTGTGTGTGTGAGAGAGAGAGAGAGAGAGAGAGAGAGAGAGAGAGAGAGAGAGAGACCCCATCCCAATTCAGAACACAAAGTAACAACTCCTAGAAATTGTAATTAAATTCACGTGTGGATTCTGCGCCTTCCAAGAGCGTGTTTCTCATTACTTCACTATCAGCAAAACCGCTGGCCCCAGACACTCCCCAGCTTTCTCTTTTGCCTTCTTTCTCACAAATAGTCCAAGCAAACACCTTCTAACCCTCTAACACATCCCTATCCCAGAAGACAGGAGTCCCCACAGTATTAGGCTCTATCTCTCTATCTCGGAGGAAGGCTGTGAAAGTCCAGGAAAACAAACCCTTCTTTGCTTGTCAGCAGGAAGAAAGTGCCCAACATCAGGAACTGGATGTGGTTTGTCCCAGATGCCTCAGCGCCCTCCCCCTAATATTTTCCTTTCCCTGCAAATTCCTCCACCTTAATTTCCCCCCACCCCCACCCCACACTCCAGCACAGTCCAAGGTGTTCTAAATATCCTTCAGTCCTCTGAGGTTCAGATTTTCATTGAAGCAATAACCCTGAAGTATAACTCTGCTCTTGATTGTAATTGTCTGTAAATGGCAGAGCATGCCTGGCTGCCCTTTTTGCTTTTTTAAACTTAGTGAGACATGTATTATTATTATTATCATTATTATTATTATTATTTATCATCTTTATTAATTAAAATAGTTTTTAAGACTACACTAGTCTCCAAACAGAAGAATTACAAAATAAGTAGTAATGTGTATTAAGCTTCTGTTTACCGGTGGGCAGAAGGAGGAAAAATTCCCAAAAGCAGATATTGTTCTTCTGAGCTCAGAGATCAGATATTGGAGTATTCAGCTTTTTATTCCAGTTTTTTTAATGTGAAAAGGATTATTGTATGCAAATGCACATCTAGAAACAATAAAGGGGTAAAATTATAAACTACCACATTCTCAACTGAGAATCTTCCTAAAACCTTGGCCTCTGAAAATAAATCCAATACCTGATCCAGAAAATGGCAGAGAAGAGTTGGGAGATAACAGGTTGTTGGCCTGAGCAATGAAAGCAATCCCCAGGCTGGGCTGGGAGTTTTGTGGTCTCAGGGCAGTGTTGTGGGGGGAAGGAGGTTTGTTTTAAGTTTTCCGTGTTGAGAGTGGTTAGGGTGGCTTTCATAGTTTACAATTTAAAACCAATACTCAAATTTGTGCCCTCTTAGTTCCTGAATTTGGCATTGTTTTCGCTCATATAAAACGATCGGGGAAAGTTCCCCGTCTCAAACACCCAGCTTCACGGAGGGGGGGGCTAACATTTTCCGAATCTGCCACCGCTGGCAAGCCAGCTAGCAGTCAAGCCTTGTCCCCAGCGAGGCTCTTTCATCACGGTCAAAGCCCGAGTTAGGACCGGTAAGGCTGGCAGAGCCGGCCTGAACCTTTCAACTGCAGCTCTCTCAGCAGCCAGAAGCCACAGAACCTAGGCTGGGCTTCAACTCCGATTGCAGCCAGTGGAACTGGCGAAGGCTTTCCTGCCCTCGGTGTGGGCACACAAAGACGCCGCGGGTGCCCCCTCAGCGGATCTCTCAGGCAGCGGCTAACGCAAGGCCGCCGCCATCCGGTCGTGATCATAACCGAGGCCTTGTCTGCGCAGAGGCCCACCAGGCCGAAAAACACCGACCTAAACAGCCTCCCTTATGCACCCCTTCCTCGGCACACTCAAACCTGTACACCGAGGGAAAAAGAAACGCTCCAAGCATTCTCCAAGCCACCCCTCTCCCCTCCGAAAGAACGATTTGGAAAGGAAACAGGGAGAGAGAGAATTGAACCGAAAAAAAGGAAGATGCAAGAAAAAAAGGAAACGGAGAGACAGAGAATTGGACCGAAAAAAGGGAAGATGCAAGAAAAAGAAAGGGATAAGAAAGAAAGAAGGAAAGAGGATGAAAAATACGTAAGATATACAGCGGCGACTGGGGAGCAGAGGGCGCGCTTGCAGAGCGAAGGGTAAGCAACAAGGCCAGGCTACCCTCCCTGGCCGGTCCCAACTAGGCCTGGGGCTCTACTGGCCAAAGAATATTCCTTCAGCTCAAGGCAGGGTAACAGTAGTGAGTAGGGGTTCTAGCCCAGCCTTGCTGGAGAATGGCAGAACCCCAGACAGGCGCAGGTCTACAGTAGGGAAAGCTCAGGCTGCAAGCAAGCGCCCCTGACCTTGAATGGCCCGGGGCCCAGAATTCTTACCACGCCCCCGGCGTCCCAGAATCAGCCCCTAACCTGACCGTACCTGCCCCGGGCCTGGTGCGGGGCGGAAAGCGGGAGGCGTGCTGGATGGCACAGTGCTGAGGACTCGAAGCTCCTCCTGCATTGGGGATCCTTGGTTGCCACCGCGGGCCTGGCACGATTAGGGCCTTGATGGCCCGCCTGGCTACCCCGGCTGGTACCTGGAGACGCTTTCAACTGAAGTAATGAAGGCAGTGTCGTGCTGTCGAGAGAAAGGTGGATCCCAACAACAGGAAACTACCTAAATCACCGACCAGTTCTGTAGCTGCAGGCGCCGGGCTGCCTCGCCCGCCGCCGCCTCCGCCGCCGCCACCGTCGCCGCTAAGGAAAGAGACCTGCGATCTTGCCCAGACCAGCCCTCCGCAACCTGCGCCAGCCACTGCCCTTGAGTCGTGGCGGAGCAAGAAGCCCCCAGTCCCTGAAAAGGTACGCCCAGGAGAATGGGAGAGTAAAGGGGAGAAGGGAGACCGAGAAAGGGGGAGGGAAAAGAAAAGGGGGGCGAGAAGAGAGGGGAGACCGAGTGGCGTGCCCAGGGTTCCCCAGATCCTGAAGCTTCGCTAAGCAGAGCAGTGCGGCCGTCGCCTCGGACGATCGGAAAGCGCAGGGGACAGCACCGAGCCCAGTCCTGCGTCTGGCCGGGCCTCTTCGACTTGCTCCCAGCAGCCGCTAGCTCTCCCCCCTCGACTCCCTCCTAGCAGCCCGCCCGCTGAGGCGCGCGCTCCCGCGACCCTCCCCCCCTACCAGTGTCGCTCCCCCCACCTCCGGCGAGCAGGAAACGCGTGGCCTGGCGGAGGGCCGCCAGGTGGGGGAGGCCTGGCAGGGGGAGGGGGTGACCCTGGACAGCTCGGCCCCTGTCCACTTAACCGCTGCCCCAAGCACCAGTGGTGCTCTGTGAGTGGGCCCTCCTCGGATTCAGGGCGTGGGGTCTTCTAGGACCTGGACACCCGCAAAATAACTGGCCTCTGCAAGTCTCTCTGGGGCTCCCGAAAGAAATCCTGTTTAGCGTCCTCTGTCTATGCAGCTCTCCTCTCAACTGAAACCACTGGTCCAAGACAGCCACAATCCAGATATACTAGCAAGTCATAAAACTGAACAAAAGCCGACAAACCTTAAGGCACCAGAGCTATAGGGCCCAGACAAATTACGACCGTCTAGGTAATATTTAAATAGATGCCTAAAGTAATTGCAGGGGGCTCGGGCTAGCCCTCCTGTTGTAAAAGTGGTGGACAGGATAAAGTGGAAGGTGAAGATAAGAAGTCAAAAAAGAGGTAAAATTAAAAAGCTTCATTCCACAGCTTTTATTCTATAAGAACATAAACATCATCTTTTCCACGCACAGCAGCAATACAATATTAATTTATTCTGATTTAAGATTTGAAGTAAATAAAGCTAGAACTAACATTTATAATAACCATAGAATGCATTTGCTTAAACAAGATTGGCAATTTTTCATAATAATAGACATTTATACAGATTTGTACTTATAGTTTTTTCTTTTTCTGCACCTACAGGTTTGACCCTTTTATGCATGTAACTTCACAGTATAAAGGAAATCCAAACAATGTCTCCCTTCTCTAATCTATTTGCCCCAGCCCGCCTAGGCTTCCATGAATTTCAGAAAGCCTTCAAAACAAAAAGAATGAATTAAAACAAAACAACGAGGAAAAAAAAAACCCAACTCCATAAAATAGGGAGAATTGTGGTGTGCTTTTCGTGTGTTACCAATTGGTAACCATTTTAATGACAAAAATCCACTAATTCCATATGTATAAACAAACCTACATTATTTATCAACAGCCAGGATATGGAAATTCAAAGGTAAAAGAAGGGTTTTAGTCAGGCAAGCAAGACCTTAGGCAAAAGGGAAGAGAAGGTTTCTTCTCTTGGCCATTTTTTATTTTCATTTAAAGCTGGGAGCTCTTTCTGATTATTTTTTCTCACTTATTTTTCAATCAGCCAGGTCAAGCCTTTAGCTAACCTGCATGCCCATGTTTTGATACTCTGCTATTGGCCAAGGAAGAAAAGAAGGAAGAAAAGAGAAATCAGGCCTGTACTCCCTGATTAAACACAGCCCAGCACTCCAGGCTGGCGAACCCGGTGGCGGCTCCTTGCACCATTGACCTCAGGCCAGACACCTCAGCGCCTACAATGGAACCTAGGGCTTCCGGCTAAGTTTACCCAAGGCTGGGCAGGAAACCAGTTCCGTGCAGGAGACCTGGGAACCCCGAGGCAGCGAACCCAGCCCAGTCAGGACTTGACAATGAGGACAATCTCAATCTCTATAGAATTTTAGCGTTATGGCTTTTTCCCCCAGAAAACAAGTAAACCAACACCAAGCAAACAGACAAAGAAAAAGTCAGAACAAACCAGCCCTGCATAGACGAAACGGCCCGGGAGTGTGGAAGAGAGTAATGGGGCTCCGGCACAGGTGCGAGTTCTGGGGCAGAGGCTAGAGGCAGAAGGAGGGGTGCAGGCGCTCTGGAAGCGAAAACGCGGCGTTGCCTGGGAGTTTCATCAGGAAAAATTAAAGTTGGCTGTGAGCTCCCGGATTCGGTTTTCTCGGTTCATTTTCTTCAGTTTCATCCTGCGATTCTGAAACCAGATTTTCACTTGTCTGTCCGTGAGGTGGACGCTACGGCTGATCTCTAGGCGCCGCTCTCGAGTAAGGTACATGTTGAATAGAAACTCCTTCTCTAGTTCCAGCGTCTGGTGCTTCGTGTAGGGGCAGCGTTTCTTCCGGCCGCTCTTCGCCGTGAGCCAGTTGGCTGCATTTTCGCCTTTGGAATTGCCTGGAGTTTAAGAGAATACAGAGGGGAAGGTTAAGTCGGGGCCACTCGGGCTGTGCGAGGGGGGTGAATTCTGGGTCTTTCCCATTAGAGGGATGCCCGAAGTCATAGAGAGAGGGTTATGCCCTCCTTTGACTTTCGGAGAACAAGAAATTTCCTCCAAAAGGCATGACAAAATCGAGTGGGCCTCAAATCCACACCCGGTCCTCCCAATTTACATTTTCCTCTACTTTTTTTCCAGGCACCTGTTTTAGCACCACGCTGCGGGGCGCTTGGAGAATGAAAGGCCGGAGTAGGCAAGGCCGTACATCTTGAACTTAACGCCTTTCTCTGCCTCTCACCCAGTGGCAGGGAAGCATTTCCTGCGGCCCCCAGACTGGGGGTAAGGGATGCTTATTCGGACAAGAACCCTGCAGCTTCACTGACTTACCCTAGACCCCTAGATTGCTCTAGGCCAGAGGAGAAGGACATGGTTGGGCCTAAAGTTCTGGAAAACCTATCCTAGGGTCAAGGGCTGTTCCGCCCCTGTCTCTCCAAGAAACTGGGGTGTGCAGCTGAGCGACACCGAATTCCAAGGGAAGGGAAATGGCCACTCCTAGGTTTTCAGTTCAGGGCCCAGGCGTCCTGGCGGGATTTGCCTTTTCTTCTTGCAGCAAGAATTCCCGCCCCTCCAGGAACTTTGAAAAAGGCATGGGGGATCGTAAACTCGAACTTCGCCGGTTAATGGGCTTATTTATTGGCGCTGGCGGCTGCTTATTTTGGATGCCTTACAAACATCCGTGCTATCTGCAGGCGAGCCACTTTCCCTCCCCGCCCCTCCCCCCGCGTGGGCCGCGCTGAGCAGGCTGGGCTGGGGACCAGGGCTTGGGGGGTACTCGGGGCCACAAGAAAGTGCATGCACAGGAGGAGGGCAGCTCACTGGTGTCCTCATCCCCCGAGTGAGTCTGGGTGATCTGGGGCCAGCGCTAAGGACGTCTTGGTGTGGGACACTAAGCCGGACATGGATTTTTTACAGCGTCCCCACGCCCAAATATTAAAAACAAGTTCAGAAGGTCAGCCTGCCTTCAGCTTGGGCCAAGGCCTGCGGCTGCCGCGCGCGCGGGCTCCTGCTCCTCGGCTCCTTCCTCGTGGGTCTGTCTGTCTGCCCGCCTGACCTGAGCCCTCGGTTGCGCTCTGCTTACCCAGGGAGTCCTTCTCCGGCGACGCTTTACTGTTTTCAGAAGGGGCCGGGGACAGCTCCTCAGCCGCCGAGGATGACGCGTGCGCCTCCTCGTCGCCCTGCGAGCCGCTGCCACCACCGCCGCCACCGGCGCAAACCAGCGTGGGTGGCGGCGTGGAGTCTAGGGCTCGCTCCTTCCCGGCTGCCTCGGCCGAGCTCGAGGCCAGTGCGGGCGGAGGGTCGAAGCCGCGCCCCGGGGGCTGCGCAGGGAAGGGACTGGCGAGCTGCTGCGTGCCACCGCCGCCGCCGCCGAAGCCCTTGGCCGTGCCGTAGGCCTGGGACAGACGGAAGTAGCCCGGCACTGGCACTCCGCTGGAGACGCCCAGGGTGCAGCCGTCGGACGGCGGGCCCCGCGGGAAAGGGGCCAGGTCCGCGGTGCCCGAGCCTTTGGGGCATTTGTCCGCAGAATCGTAGAGGCAGTAGGAGCTCTCTTCTTTGATGTTCTGCGCAAAAGAACACGAAGTGGCCTGCGGCGGGGGCTGGGGTGGCTGCGGCGGGGGCGGCGGCTGCTGCTGGGGCTGGGGCTGGGGTGGCGGCGGCGGCCCGTCGGGAGGTTCCATCCGGCAGGAGCGGGGCGCGTCCAGCCACAGGTCTAGGGGCGCGGGCGCGTAGCCATGCGTCCCGGGACCCAGGCCCCCGCTGCCACCACCACCACCTCCTCCGGGCGATGGCGCTTCATTGCGCTTGCTGCCTAGCGCGGGGAAAAGCCCGCAGCTTTGCAGCCCGTAAGGCAGGTCGCTGGCCGGCGGCAGGTAAACCCCGCTGTGGGCGTAGTAGCCGCCTCCGCCGCCCCCAACGCTACCGCCACCGCCACCCGCCTCGCCTCTGGCCGAGCTGATGAGCGAGTCGACCAAAAAAGAGTTCGCGGCAGGGCTCTCCGAGCATGACATTGTTGTGGGATAATTTGGCGAAGGGAGCAGATAGCCCTTTCTGGCTGACATTTCTTGTGCAAAACATGCTGAATACGATTAGCAATCCCCCCGCACCGCGGCGGGCGCCCGCAGCCAATCCCGAGCCAGAGTTTGCACGCGACCACTCCCAGTTTGGTTTCGTAGGCGCGGGGCCGCTCTCTGAGGGCGCCCTCGGAGCCCGCGATTGATATAAATATGTAATCTGTATTGATGGGCCAGAAGACGCACGCCTGACACCTATGGCCCGAAGGCCAGAACTGTGGGGGCTGCCTCAAAGTGGCAGTCGGGGATCTAGCTCTTGAGTCTGCAACACCCCACCCCCCCCCCAGCAAAGAATATACATGGAAGCGCCCTTGGGCCCTGTGCTGTTAACAAGTGGGGTGTTTATGATGTGCACCCCAGCCATCTTTGGGTGCTCCCATGTCTGCCGTGAAGTAGCCACGAGTCCCTGTCGCCCCTTGATCATTTAGGCAGGCCCTGTTGTAGTCTCCCCGTTCTGTTCATTTCTGGACCTGGAGGTGGTCCTGGTTCTTAAATTTGGCTTCCCAAAGTGGCTGGTGTGGTCCTAAGCCTGGCAAGACCCTTGGAGTGTCCAGAATCCACAGTAACCTGGAACCTGGCTGGTACCACATCTCACAAAGAACGCTGTCTGAAAGGCATTGGCTGATCACTGCCTGGCTCCTCAGTCCCAATGACTTTCTTACTCCATCCTTGGGCAACCAAGATTTTTCTCCTTCACTATGCTCAGTCTATTTCCATCTTCCAAACTTGCATAGCTGGCTTAGTGAACTGAAAATCAACAGTCTGGCAACCCTAGCAAAAGACTTCCCACCACCCTCGGTTCAGAGTCAAAAGCATACATACTCCAGTTATCCAGAGGAGACCCACACTCACTTCTTTGGGGGACTAGAATGTCGGCCTGGGGCCTCTAGTCTTTCTGCACTCCATGGGAGAACTGAGGGGGAAATCTTGGAAGAATGTGCCCAACAAATATCTCTGCCACATTGCTTTCTCTCTGGCTTTACTTTAAGCCTTAGCATTCCTATGCTTCCTGAGATTATGACAAAAACCTGTCACTACACTCTTGTCTTGCTGTCCTCCTCTCACGCACCCCCCCCCCAAGGCAAGGCTAAGACAGTCCTTGTTCCAGCCATTTTGTAGTACAGTGTGCACATTTTAACAAGGTGGTGATGAGGCAATCCATTCCCTGGAAGGCTAAACTAGATTTGGGCCCTATTGTAAGAGACTCTAGAGACCAGGAGCTTTGCTTAGCAGATACTGGGTCCTACGCCGGGGTGCTTTCTTCAGCAATTGGAAGTGGTCAGACACACTAACCCCCAAGCCTGTGCCTCACATCGAGCTCAGGAAATGTGACCTTTTCCGGAGGGATCCAGCGGAGCTTGTGCAGTTGATGCTTTGCCCCTGACCTGTAACCCACAAGGTTACAAGGTCTCCAGGATACCCTAGGCCTGCCAGCTCCAGTTGGAACAGGGGAGTTACTGACTGCCCAGATCCCAGGAACTCCATTATTCAGACCTCTGCAAACGGCAGAGAAAGGTTCTTACAGTTAGATGGTCATGTTCCTGTTCCTCCCAGAATGGATCCAGCCACTGGACAAAAACAACCCTGAGAGTGAAAACCACACAGGGCTAGGTAGAGGCTGGCTTCTGGCTTCTGAGACTCAAGCAACTGAGATTGTTTGCAGCTGCTTAGACAGCCGCGCCCAGGAAGCTGTGCTTCTGCTAACATGGGGAGGCATCCTTGCCACTTCTACCTCTGTCTCCCCAAGGTGACAATCTGGGAGGGCTGGGTAGCTAAGCATTTGAATGTAAATGAGAGGAATGGAGGAAGAAGGAGGGGTGGATGAAGGGGACAAGAAGGTGAGAAAAAGGAGAGAGAGAGAGAGAGAGAGAGAAAGAGAGAGAGAGAGAGAGAGAGAGAGAGAGAGAGAGAGAGAGAGAGAGAGAGAGAGAGAGAGAGAGAGAAATTGAACACAAATGAGTATCAGCTCTCTGCAGCTGGAATTTTCTATCTAAAGCAACCACTCCAGAAAATAAAAGCTGGGTCTGTGTGAGATGTCATTAACTATCTGTTTTGCTTCTGTGCCCAAGGCCAGGCCTAGAGCCAGAGATCCAGAATGCAGCAAAGCTTCAGAGCTGTTGACGCTTATGGTCCTACCTTAGGCTTCCAGGATGTGCTTGGTCCGCACTCTGTTCACTAGATAGGTGGAAGTCTTGTGTTCAGCATATCACCTGGAAATGCCCTGATGCTGGGCTGCCTGAAAAAATGGCACTTTGCTCTTTAGTGATGCAGATCTCTCTATGTAGAGCTGTTATGTGGGGAAGTAGGTCCCAAGAGTGCTAAATGCTCCGTTAGGAAAAGGAACACCAGCAGGCCAGCAGGCTTGTGGACCAGGGTTAGAGCCCTCAGCTGGCCTGCCTAGATCTCAGGCAAAAAGGAGTTTCCCTGGCTGTGGTTTTTAAAGGACAAGTGGCCATTGGAGAGTGTTTGAGATAGCAGAGACTACAAGAATAAGAGAAAGACAGCGATAGAAATGATAGAAATATAGCATCTTTCTTAACCTTCCAGGGGTTCAGGGAGCCCTCTGAGTAATCCTAGGGTAGTTCTGACTTTTATTGTATGTAAAACACAAATCTGCATTCCCCTGATTTGACCCTTCACTTTCAAGGAGTTTATAGACTCCTAAAGCCTTCTCCCCAAATTCTCCAGAGCATCCAGGACTCCTCTGGGACTCAGCAGTCCCTGCCTATTTGTCTGGCAAAACAAGCCAGGTGCCCAGCTGCAAGCCTCTTGGGCTTATCCTAGCCAAGACCTTGTAGTATGTCCAAATGGGCTTCTAGGCTGGATGGGATCCAGAAACCTACAATTGCTGACCAAGGTTAAAAAGTCAGCTCCGGTACTGCACATAAAGGGCATTTCTGCTAAAGACTGGAGGAATTAGATTGCCTGCCCCACAGACCATGGCATTGGCGCTTGGCTTCATCAGCCTATGTGGAGAGCAGACATATTATTCTCAACGGTAACTTTCTCCCTTCTAAGAAACCAAACAGGGTGTTTCTTTTTTTCCTTGTATAAATATTGTGAGCCTTCATGGAAACCCCTCTCTGACAGACTTGCTGAGCAAAGGAAGAAGAGGACAGCCTAGCCATGGGATACTGTTGGGTATCTGGCCAATTGTCCTGGTGTGGCTGTCTCAAAGTAAATACAATGACTCAGAAATTCAAGTTAAATGTAGTCGGTGGGGTGAGTGTCCGCTCGGCTTTCTTGGTTTGGAGCCCCAGGCATCCCTCAGCAACCCTGAAGGCTCCAGCGTCTCTCCCTAGACCACAACAATGAGGTGTTAGCCTCCTCAATAAAAACATTCTGTTCATTGAGCTTCTTGACTTGCCATCCTCAAGACATAAAGTATAGTGATTCCCTCTTCCTTCTTTTCTCCTGTTCCCTTCCTTTCAACTGCTGAATTCCCTTTTCCTTCTTTAGATGCCTTTGACCTGAAACCCTTGGTGCCTGCTGTCCTTAACCAGACGCTGCAGCAGGCGCAGCATTGCTGCCGCCACCGCCAGAGTCTGTTTGTTCGGGAGTAAATATTGCCATTTTCTACCTAGAGATAACACCCGTTTTCTCCATGGAGCCACAGGAAATGCCAGGCACATGAACCGAGAAAGTTTGGGGATTGCCCTGCATTTTACTTGATAGCAGATTCCTCTTCCTGAGTAGGCCCTTGTGAGCTCCCCAGATACATTCTTGTATTTTTTGGTTGTGAGCCTTTTTTAACAGCTGAGCCATCTCCCCAACCCCCCCAAAAACATTCTTATTATGAAAATAATTTAGTTGAGTTATTCACTAGGACAAAACAAAACAAACAACGATAAGAAACAAAACAAAAAACAAAACCCTAGGTTCTGAGAATGATATACAAATCAGTTTGTATATGGAAACCATTCTCAACATTTTGGGGGTTCCAAAGTATCCAGGGGGCTGTAGGATGGATTGCAGCTTCATGAAGAAAAATTAATTCAGCTTCAGCACATCCAGAACAGTTAACAAAATTTCAGAAATGCTCCCATTTATACATGTATTAATAACTAGTTTTTTTCATAAGCAACATTCTTTTCCTGATCTTTAAGAATGTTGACATTTCCAGGGTTGTTTAATGTGTGTTTTTTTTTTTTTTTTTTTTCTTTTCTTGTCTTGTCTACCAGGTCCAATCTTTCTCCAGCTTAAAATATTTTCTATTTCTTTCTTTTTTTTTCTTTTTTTGTCTAAATCTAACCATCCAGCTGGCCCTTGCCCTTTAGTGGGGGACACACTGGGTCTTTTGTCAGCAATCTTGAAGTGCCAGTGTTCTTAGTTTTGTAGGTAAGGAAATGGCTCTGGCCTTAAAACTGGTGGCAACTCAGGAGTGTAAGGAGAGTTCCCACCCACTGCAGTTCACAGAGTAGGCCCTCATTTCTGCTCAGGGTTGCTTTTTATTTTGGTATGGCTTAGGAGCCCATGCTTAACAAAACCAGAGGTTCATAAGCACGGTTTTCGTTCACTCACATGTGAACAGGGGCAACACGTATTTGTTCTGAACTTCTTTTTACTCATCCATTGTAGGGTACATAGGGGAAAGAAATAAAGCTATTTCGAGAAAGAAATGAAAATATATTAAAATAAAAATATAAATTTGGGAGAAACAGGAGATTTAAATCTGGCCTTCAAAATGCAAGCTCTTTGGTTATTTAAAACTTGGTTTTTATGAAAGTCTTGAACAAATGCCTGCTGGGTCAGACTTGATCCCCACGCGGATTAAACAAATAGAATGATATTCAATAATGTATTTTTGTATAATTTGCAAAATATACAATAACCACGCCCCTCGTTTTAATAGCTAGGAAATTTTGTTGGAAAATGCCAGACAGGATTTTGATGCCACATTCCAAATACACAGTACGCAGTACTGGGCTGTCTGCAATAACATCAAAAAAAAAAAAAAGCCCACTAAAAACAAAATTCAAATACGACTTCTTTGGATGGCTTTTGGAGGGAGAACAAAGCTTATTTCCAGCTTGCTAGGCAGACTTCTAGACTACGAGACCTACGAGAAAACCGGTAACCTCTGGCGGTCTGCCCTGAGGAATAAACCCGCTCCAACCGTCATGGATGCTTGACCACTCCATTGTTTCCAAGGAGAAACTTGTTTTTCTTAGTCTACCATCTCTTTTCCCTCGGAACAGCCCTAACCCCAGCACAGCTGATTCTTTCGCCTGGGTTCTGACCATACCTATCACATCCAGATCTGAATATTTCAGCAAAATAGAAATATCGCCAGGGGTGAGAAGCCTAGGTGAAATGCGGGCACAGGGAGCTAAAACGGACAACTTTTCCACTTAGGCCTCCCAGCCACAGGGAGCTATGGGGAGAGCGCGTGCGGGGAGGGGAGGGGGTGGCAAACGCGCATCACCCCCACAAACTCAGCCATTTGCTTAGCCATCAGCTACGTCCTCACTCCCACCTCTACTACAGTGAAACGGATAAACTTGTGGCCACTTACCTTGACTCATTTCTGAAATCACTGCCAAGAGGGCAATAGCTTTTCCACGCCGCGATGTGGAGAGGCCTAGCACAGGCGCTCTGCTTTAAATTACAATCCCAATCACTTCTTGAGCGCGAGGCTCCCTTTTTTTCAATGCGAAGGGGAGCGGGACAAGTGAAATAACGTACCGTGCTGCTCTTAGTATCACAAGCGAACAAAGGCCAAGAATCTCGCTGGGGTTCCCGGCTCCCTGGCGGCTTTGACATTGATCTGAAGTGCGCCATCTCGTGGCGGCTGCGGGCCTAGGCGAGGCTGGAGATGCAGCCTGCAGCCCAGAAAAGGAAGCTGGCTCCCGGCAGAGAAAGAGCAAGAGAATGTGCCCAACCCGCTGCTATTGAGATCTCATTTTTACATCTAAGAAATTGCTGCAAAACCCCAGCCGGGTTTATAGCGGCGCATTCCAAATATGCAAATTGGCCGGCCCAGGACGGGTTTACGACCACATTGTCACAGCCATCGGAGGATGGGCTTTTATAGGGCTCAGAAATCAAACCCGCTCCCGCCTGCCACCCGCCTGCAAGCAGTTCTCCTGGCTAGACTCTCTCTAGCAACTTGAGAGACTTTGGTTAATCTTTAACCATCCCAAAGGAAGTCTTTTCCTAAACCAGGCTTCCCTGCCCACCCCTTTTAGGCCCCCAGGAGGGCCCTTGTTCTTCTCACTGTGTCTGTCTGTCAACCTAGACATTCATCTAGGGGGTCTGTCCCTCTTCCTTTTCAGCTCACTTTCTCCCGTCGTGCCAGTTAGACAAACACACAAACAAATAAACAGAGTCTGGAGCCTAAGGCCTCTCTCCGAATGAGACCCTCTGTGCTGCTTTGGCTCTGCTTGGGTGACTGGAAAGAGGGTGGGGTGGGCAACAAAAGGCTCTGTCCTTTCAGCCCTGCCCCTCAAGGTTATGGGCAATGTCCAAATTTAAGGCAGAAGTTCAAAGGCAGCAAACAAAGAGCAAGCCCGCATCTTTCTTTGCCCCAGGGAAGGGAGAGGGAGCTGGAGCTGGACAGGAAACACACTTACTGGTTCCTGAGATTCAGCTCTGTGTTGGTACCTAGACTCACATCTCTGTTGTTGAAGGGACCCACAGGGTACACTCAGAGGGACTCTACTCAGTCCTGAGGTGATGGAGGTTAGACTGGGTCAGGCCATTGGCCATTACAAGCCCCAAGGCATTCCCTAGGGCTAAAGTCAGTTGGAGGGAGAAGTCCCACAGTTAGGCCTTGACATACCCTGTCCCCAAGATGTTGTCTTCCACGAGGACATACAGCCTCAGTTTCCTCTGCCTAGTTTCCATTGTAGCTCAATCCTCATTCTTCCATCTCTACCAATACCCCCCCCAGGATCCTGGTAACTTGCCCCCTTTTACTGACTGGTAAAATGATGCTAGCTAAGGGAGGATATTGGGCAGGAAAAAGCAAACAGGGAGATAAATGTCACACCAGGACCCAATACTCACATTTCTATCCTCTTTATTTTCCATGTGCCCTGTTGTCTGTGTGCATATTAAGACATATAGGGAGCATGGGGTAGATAAGAACTGGCTGAAGGCACTCATCACAGACAGAGCCACCAGGGGGTTCTTAATCCAGGGAAGCAGAAGAAATTCACTTGAAGAGCACCTGGGCTCCCCAGGGGAAATTCTCAGGTCTTGGTAGGCTGGCTCTAGGTATGCCAACTCTTCAAAGGTTACAATATTGTAAGAGATTAACAAGACCATCCCCAACATCCTTCCCATTCTTTCCAGAACCCTCAAAGAAATCAACTAATGGGGTCGTGGCGAGGTGAGGGGGAAGAGTATTGAAACACAGTAGGTTATGGTTTCTTTATTTACAAGTCTTTTGAACACCATCCCTGTATGAAGCATACATTCAAATATTTTTTTTAGCAGTGAGCAAGTTTAACTGTGGAACACTGTAAACAGAGAGCCTTTAAATATTTTTTTTTATTATCCGTGCCCCCTCTACATTGCATCTTAAAATTCGCTTTGGTTCCTTCGGGGAAATATATATATAATATAATATTTATCTTTTAAAATAATTCCAAATCACTCTCCGGCTCTTAGAAGATTGCCAGAAGCTTCCAAGCTCAGTTCTGAGTCAATGAGAGCAGAGTGCAACTTAGGGATGGGAATTTGGGAGCAGGGAGACTTCAGTCCCTCATAGCCACAGTCAAGGACCCACTGGCCAGGCCTGCTACTCGGCTGCCTGACACCAACGGAATCCAAGCTTCTCCCCAGCATGGCGGAGACTTTGCCAAAGTGTAGCATTCCACAGGCATTTCCTGCAGAGATTGAGGGACCAGCAGTCAGCACAGCCCCTGGATTTGTCAATGTCTTCCTTCTACCCCGGGAATAGTCAACTCTGCCATCAAACTTTGGGTTTGAATAGAGAGCCATCACCACCACTGGGAGGTAGGAAACCCAGGAGATGGCAGGAGGTGTCCGCTAGGAACTCAGGCCTGGGTGCAGAACAATGGGTAGCTAGGAAGGATGGAAAGACATTAATGTCACCTGGACAGAGTTCTCTTTCCCTTAGGGTTCCCAGCTTTCTCCCAGTTCACAGCCACCTTTTAGTCCATCTTTCTTTTCACATTACTTTCAGAAAGCAACCCCATTCTGGATGTCTAGTAACCCTTCCCTTTCCTCCTACCCCTATCACCAAGCTGAACTAGGCCAGGAGAACATACAACTTCTTGACTTAGGAGTCCTGGGGATGGGCAGTCTCTGTGCAGAGGGTCCTAAGGAGGTGGCCTCCAAGGGGTTTGGCAGGGGGCCCAATCCCCAGTGACCACACCCAGCCCAAAGCTTTTGCGGGCTTTAAGAGTGAACCACCAGGGGTCCCAAACCATTCATTCTGTTGACTCTCAACTCTTAGAATCCAATTATTAATGGGAAGCTTAACCACTGAGGTCTGAACCAAGAGTTTCAGGTCCCTTCCTATTGGGCTATCTCTGCAAAGGAAGCCTCCCATCTCTCCTTTTCCCCCCCCAAGTAACTGTGTGGCTTGACCTTGTCAAGGGCAAAATCTGCATATTATTTCACATGTATGAAGCCCCCCTCCCAATTCCAGGAGGCCGGGGCCTTAGAGAAGCGGATTCGCTGAGTAGTACTGTAATCGGTCTCTGTTAATCTTTTTTTCCTTCATTCTTCTGTTTTGAAACCAGATTTTGACTTGACGGTCGGTGAGGTTAAGCATGCGGGACAGTTGTAAGCGCTTCTCTTTGTTGATGTAGACGCTGAAGAAGAACTCTCGCTCCAGCTCTCGGATCTGATACTTGGTGTAAGGGCAGCGCTTTTTGCGGGTGCGTTGGCCACCTAAGGAGGGAGAGAGGCAAAGAGTGAGCAGCAAATAGGGACTACAACTCACCCCAGGACCCCCATGGGAGAAAAAGATCTGGCCACAGGATCTGGAGGCCCAGATCAGGCCCCTTCAAAGTCTTTCCAGGCCCTTGCCTTCAGACTGCTATTGCTGGTCAGGGACAAGTTGCAGTCGGAGCCGGCTTCAGATAAAAGCCAGCTCCCTAGATAGGCCCCCAGGGAAAGGGCTCAGGCTGCCCCTTGAGGAAAAAAGAGGGCTCCCCCCATGGCAACAGGAGAGCTTGAGCTGGCTAAACTGCTTTGAAAGTAGGCAAGTGGGGGTTGCGGGCTGCGCCTTGCCTCGCCAGACTAAACAAACAGCCGCCCGAGGACATTTCACCTTCAGCACCTGGGCCGCCTGTCCCTGAGGCAGTAAAGGCATGCATCCTGGCCCCAGGCTTTCCCGGTTGCAGCCATGATTTAACCCTCCTTAACATCTGGGGCGGCTGCGGGGTCTTTGTCAGCCTGACTCCTGATCAAGAGCTCCTGCATCTTCCGCCAGCCTCCCAGCTCTCTCGAGGTGGGAGGTGGCAGAGGAAACCCCTACCCCGGGCCTTCACACTGCACCCACTGCCGCCACACAGCCAGAAGGCCCTCAGCAGGGTAGGGGTGCTATTTTAGGGAGGGTAGAGGGAAGAGAGGCTTCCTTAAGTTTCAGGCAAGAGCCAGTTGTTCACCCCCACCTTAAAAACAAAACAAAATGAGACCAAAAAAAAAAAAAAAAAAAAAACTACATTGCTTTTGACTGATTTAATAACAATTGTGAATAACAGAAGGCAGCATGTAATTGCCACCGCGCCAAAGGAAAATGGCTTCCTTTGGACAAAAAGGCCAACTTTAGGTTAATTTGTTTCTTTTAATATATTGCTCAAGCTAAGCGGGCTACTTTATCTATTAAATGCGCTCCTAGCGCCATCGTTAAACAGCGATGCCTTTGAATCCCAGCCGGGACTGGAGTCCCCGCTGCAACACATGGCTTTTATAAAAATCTCCGGATTACCTCGCTATCAAAGGCTCCCGAAGCCCTTGTAGGGGGAATTTACAGGCGCCCACCTCCGGCTCCCTAGCCTGGAGCTGGCCTCGAGCGGGATCATGCTGTTGGGTTTGGGAGCTGAGAAGGGAAAAAAGGAAAAAAGGGAGTTGTATTTTTTTTTTTTTTTTCCAAGCGTGCTTTGGCCGGGTGGGTATTTCACGGCCAATTTCAGCACTCGCCACGTGATCCCTCCTTTTATAACAAAGTTTTGTTGGGGGAAACCTAAAGGCCCTTCATAAACCTTATATGCTTATAAAACAGCATATAAAAATTTAACAGCGGTGCTGCGCTAGATTCTCAACTCCCCTTTCATAAAGCGCTGGGCGCTGCCTTTATACGCACCGGAGCTGCCGGCCTTGTCCTCAGTGTGGCCGGAAGACGACTCCGGGCTGCTGCTGCTCTCGGGTCGCCGCCGCCGCTCCTTCTCCTCCGCCGCCGCCTCCCGACAGCCGCCGCCGCCGTCCGAACTTGAAGTTGCCGGCGCGCCGGTGGCCGCCGCCGCCACCGCCGCAGCGGAGGTCGCAGCTGCCGCTGGGGGCCCTTTCTCGGCGCTCTTGTCCCCGGGGTAGTCAGAGGAGGCGAGGTTTTCCGGGGTGCCGTAGGCCGTCTCGAAAAACTGGTCAAAAGCCTGTGGCAGAACGCCGTTCCTGCCCACCGTGCTATAGAAATTGGACGAGACGGCGGGGGTGGGGTGGTGGTAGACGTTGGCCGAGCTCTTGGCCAGCACGTCGCCAGGCACGCCGGCCGCGCTGGGCGCCTGCAGACAGTCTCTGTGCACGAGCTCCTCCGCGGAGTAGCAGTGGGCCAGATTGCCGCGGGGGTGCCATTTAGTGGCGGGCTCAATGGCGTACTCTCTGAAGGTCACTTCGCGCACGGGTTGGACCTGGGGCAGGTTGGAGGAGTAGGAGTATGTCATTGGGCGCGAAGACGGGGTCTGGGGCAAAAAAGAAGGGAGGCTGGAGAAATCTGGACCCGAGACGTAGTAAGTACAACTTGGCAAATACATGTTAGAGGAGCAGGGACCACGCTCATCAAAATCCATCATTGGGCTACCTTGGGCTCTCCGCAGTAGCCGAGCTTAACATGATTCTCCACTGCAGCTGCCTCTTTGAAGCCGATCCGTGAAGTAGAAATTTGGAGACGTAAGCTGACGTGGAAATCTATCCCCATCCTTAGCAGGGAGGTGCTGGTCATGTGACCCGATGTTGAAATTGACAAGCTGCGAGAGAGTCCCGGCTTTTTTTTTTTTTTTAACCCCCCCTCCCTTTCCTTTTTTCCCCCTCCCCTCCCTCCCCGGCTTCCTTTCTTTGTAGCCACCTCAGGGGAAGCAACAGATCGTCACTCGGTGTTCTCACCGAAAACACGTAATCGCCGGTGTAACTCATGTTGGCTGGGGGGCCTCCCCGCCTGCAGAAAGGCTGCGGTGCGCCCCCAAGCAGCTCTCTTTTGCTCAGCTACAAGGTCCTGGTCCACGAATGCGCTGAGGGCGGTGAGAGAGCGCAACTCCCGACGCCTCCCCCCACTTCCCGGTGGGTGAGGGATGCTCTGGGCTGGGATGGCCAGGTGAAAGACCGGAACTGTGTGGCTCCAGGTCTGTTATCCGAAGGCTTACAGTTCGACATCTCCTTCTTCGCAGCCCCCCCCCCCCCGCACCCTCTCCAGGCTTGCTCAGCGAAACACCTCATCCTTAGACCCTGGCTGGACCCCATTTGGGGCCAGGCTTCGCAGCCGTGGATGTGCCGGCCTCGTGGCTTGTCCGATTTGCACGGTGACTTGATTACACGCTCTCATTCATGGTCACTTCCGAAGCGCTTTAGTGCCTTCCGTCCCCAAACCGCCAACAGGCAGACCAGCTTTCCTCCGCGGTTTGTCAATAATCCGCGCGGTCCGGAAGGGCCTTCGCCTTACCCGGGTTCCACCTTCCCTGTATCTTTTTGCTTACTTTCTTACCCCACACCCTGTCCTTGGAGGAAACCCTTCTCCTCGCTGCCTCTAGGGGTTCGGAGGGACTCCGCAGAACCAGAGGCAGTAGGACAGCGCTTCTGCTCACCGGTCCGCAAGCTGCCTGCCTGGTCTGCTGAAGCTGACGAATCGGGAAACCATGCAATTGAGGCGAACCTTGGGCTGGTTTAGAGGCGCTGACATCCGAGGAGCCTTCTCCTGGGTATGCTGCACCTTTGGGGGACCCACCAGGCTGCTTGCAGCCCATCAGAGCTGTGAGGGGAGTGGAGGGTGGCAAAGAGGGAGTAAGGAGCCCTGACTAAGAGAAGAGTAACCCGCCTCTTCTTCCTTGCAAAGCTTAAGAGTGAAAGCAAAGGATATTTAAGGAAAAACTCCAGACAGCTCCCATCATTCTTACTATTTAGTCCACAGGAGAAACACAATGCCAAAGAAAAGAGAGGTGTTCTAGCTGCCTCCACCTTGGCCCATAGACATGTCTTGAAAAGGCTATGCTTTCTGTGCAGATAGCTAATAGTCAAGAAGCCATAAATGCTAGGATGGATTTAGCTCTTCAGAAGAGAAGATGGAGATTAAGAAGACAAAATAATGCTCGCCATTCTGCAAGACCGAAGAAGTATTTGGGGGAAATGGAAGAGAAGAGAGGGCACAGGGCAGCCAGGCATGGCCAGAGTAGGGAGGGGCCCAGACCTGGGGGCTCCCCACAGCTCCCTTAGATGGAGCTAGGGGGTCTCCAAAGTCAAAAGTGAACAATGAAAACCTTTTCCCCTTTCCTCATCCAGGAAATAGCCAAAGGTATTTACATATCTTGGGGAGATTTAGAGTATAAATGCTAAGATCTTTGGTATTTAAGTGTCAACATCGATTTATTTATTTATTGCTGAGCTGACTGTAACTGACTCAATAACAAATTTAATCATGTGTTGCTCTGGAAAAGAACTATTCTCATTATGTATTTTCTCCAAATAATGACCCACCATTGCATTTGAATGCCCACTGTAAATATCAATAATATCAAGTAATTACTGTGTAGTGGCGTAAACTAATTTATTAGCATTAATGTTTATGTGGCTGCAGCCCCCCCCCCTTTACAAGGGTTGCTTATCACAAATCAAGCTCCTCGGACACATTGGTTTAATGAACTCTTTATTCAGGATTTGCTGCAGGAACTTTCATGCCCCTTGAATCCCTGAGAGCTGAACTTGAAATTATTTGTACATCTTCAGTTTGACATATTTGTCCACTGTGGCTTCATAGATGACTGCAGTGGCGTGAGTGGGGAGATGTTGCAGGGAGAAAGGTTGTTTCTGGAAGGGTAGCTTCAGGCCTTCTAAACCTGGGGATGGAAACTACAGGATGGTCCTGCAGCAAAAAAAGAAAAACTAAAATCCAAAAAAACCTTCCATTTCCTGCAGTTGCCAAGGAGGCAAAATATTTGTCTCTTTGCGATATCTTTTTGGAGACTATAAAAAAGGAAGGTTAGGTTGAGAGCCGCAGTATTTGAGAAGTTCCCTGGGTTGATTTTTGCTACCTCAAACTTTCACCCAGCAGCCCACCCAGTCCTCACCACCCCTACCCTCGAACAAAAGGAATGCGTGAAGGGTTTCAGTGACTTTGCCATAACAAAGGCGCCACCATTGCAGGGCTCGCCCCGCCCCTGGGTGAAGGCAAACAAATTCTTGCACTTGTATTAGGGCTTTTAAGACCATAATTGAACCCGGGGGCGTCTAGGAGAACCGAAAACAGTTCTAGACAGACCTGCGGTTTTATAGCAGTTTTGGCAGTCAACTTCAGCTTGTGCCTGAGCAGTGGGGCCGAGGTGGCCCAGCCGCGGGGGATGCGAGGCCGCCGCCCCTAACTACATGGCAGCTTTCTCTCATAATTAGCTCGACTTTTCAGGATGCCAGGGAGAAGGGGTACCAGCAGAAAGGTCGGTGTGGCACTGTGCAGTGCTCCGGTACTCTCTAGGTTTTCATCGAGGGCTAGTTGAATGGGAGCCGGCAGGTAGGTATCCCATGGGCATCTGCAGAAGCCAAGGCAAATTCCCCAGGCAGGGCTGTGGGCGAAGAAGGTGCTCCTTGAGTGGTTGGCAAAGCAATTCGACAGGTTGTAGAGAAGAGGGGTGCCTGGAGGGATTTGCATCCTCGAAGGGAGCGTGTGTGGGGGGGGGGGGCGCTGCTGTGAAGATGGATGAGTAAAAAAAAAAAAAAAAAAAAAAAAAAAGGCTTTTGATGGAAACAGAAGGGAAATGGCCTGGAGCTCTGGAGCTGCCGACTGCTGTTAGTACTTTAAGCAGAGACAAGAGATGGGATGCTCAAATCCCCGAGGCTGCTCAGTAGAAGCCGCTTTGCCTGGTGCTGTCCTGGTTCAACCTGGTAGAGAGAATGTTCTTCCGCTAGGCTTCAGAATACAGGGCGGGAGCTGCTCTGAGGTTCGGACCCAAACTGGGGGAAGAAAGGGAGGTGTTTATGCGGGTTCTTGGTTTCCACTTAGCTCTCAGCCTAACTGACTCTTTGGCTTTACAGGAGGCCGAAGGTCGATCTCAGCCCACCAGGCTCCGGGAAAGACCGGACTAGGGATAAGACCACACCGGAAGGCCAAGTCCGAGTTCCTTTCCTAGAAGAGGCGGCTGAAGGCAAGGCTATGACATTGGCCCTGAACATTGGTATTCCAGGAGCTGTTCTTTCTCAAGAACTCCACAGCGCGCGGGCCATCTCTAGAAAACACTCTTCAACGTTTATTTCCTTTAATCGTCAACCCGGAGCCCTACAGCGGCTAATGCAAGAGGCCAAAAAATGTTTGGAGGAAGAAAAACAAAGGCAGGAAGTGGCCGCGGCCTGACGGTGCGTGTGTGTCTGTTAAGAAGGGAGGGAGCAGGCTCAATCTCCTCTTGTTTTTCCGAACTTCAAGGAATAGGCAGACCCCCCTTAGCGCTTGACCAAGGCTCCCAGCCCAGCGTTTGGAGGTGACCTACGAGTTAGGATGGTGGGGCTGAGAGGCTAAGAAGGAAATTTGATCAGCAAAACAAACCAAGTCTTTTCCAGGTTTCTTCTGATTCGGTCCTGAAAGGGTGGAGGGTATGTTGGTATCCACAGTGGCTGGAGTTTTCCTTCTGGCTGGCTCAGATGCATCAAGAAGGAAAGAGGTCCAGGTACCCATCCGCTCCACTCTCAATAATCCCGAGGTAGAATATCAGAATAAAGCGTGTCCAGGTGCCTCTGCTCAGTCTGCTTTTTTCTTGCAGTTGGAGATGTATGGGGCAGTAGTAGAACAGCACTGGGTGAAGCTGCCTCTGGTGTCTATGGCTTTGGGAGGATCATTTTGTAGAAAAGCAATGTAAGGCCTTGTCAACGGAGTGGCTGTGCCAGGGGTGTTTCCAACACAGTCATTCACGAGTCCTGAGTTGCAAGCACTGTCACTTGCTCTTGCTAGGTTACATAGTACTGTACCGCTTCAAGAGAGAACAGACTGGACAACGGATTGCACTTCTGGAGTCTGGGCTTCTTAGCATCAACTAGACGGGCTGCAAGGCTACAGCCTCCTCTGGCTGTGGAGCTGGCTTGGGAGGCGGCAACCCCAGATATCCTTAACTCAGGGAATCTGAACAGCCCCCCCCCCATACCAATTCACCATGGTTCCCCATGGCATCCATTATGTGAGTGTCCAACCAAGCTACCCCCCCCCACATACACACTCCAGTTCCTCCTCAAGCTTTTCTTGTCCCCTGCAGTTCCGGCTGGTCTGTTGGCCTCCCACCTTGCCTCTTCCTAGTTAGCCTTCCTCAGGCTTTTTCTGCTGTCTTTTCTGTTGTCTCTCCTTGCTTGAGCAAGAGCTGAGGTGTGCAGTGCCCCTAAAAGGAACCTACTAGACACGTTTAGAGAAAGGGGTCTATCGGGGTTTTTTTTCCCCCCAGTTTGGATCTCCACCAGAGCCGGGGATTTCTTTATCTCATTCAATGCTTTGTTGCAAGCACAATCCACCCCCACCCCACCTTCCTTCCCCCAAGAGCTCCTTTTCTGAGCCAATCTCATTCCTTTCCATTCTGAGAAATGTCAAGAGCCCAGGAAGGTAGGACCCACCAGACTGACCAGGCCTTGCTTCAGTTGTCTATGGTTGCTGTTCAATGAATTGATTAAAACACCATAAATATTTCACCTTTTGCTGCTTGCATGGGCTTTACTTTCCTCTCCCCCAAGATATTGCATTGTATTTATAAAGCTAAACTGGGAACTAGTGCTAGTCTGGTGGCCATACCTTACACAGGTGTAGGAGTTGGCTGGTGAGGGGGTTTGGTGAA